TCAAACCCCTCACAGCAGGTCAAGGTCGGTTGGCAGGGCATGCCCTTCACTTTCATTCCGCACGCGGGCTTGCCACCCGGGTACTCGCACACGTGTCAGACTCCTTGGTCCGTGTTTCTAGACGGGTCGGAGGGGCCCGTTCCGTCAGCCGGGCCCCGGGCCGCGCCAGGACGGGAGCTGGCCGTAAAGCCCCGCTCCCGGGTTGAGGCGCGGCGCCGAGGCGCGGCTGACCCGGCGCGCAGAAGTGCACCTGGGGAGAACCCAGGCTGAGTCGGCGCGCCGAAGCCGGGCCCATCCGGGTTTCCTCCTACCGATTTCAAGCACTCTTTGACTCTCTTTTCAAAGTTCTTTGCATCTTTCCCTCACGGTACTTGTTCGCTATCGGTCTCTCGCCAGTATTTAGCTTTAGATGGAATTTACCACCCAATTCAAGCTGCAATCCCAAGCAACCCGACTCGACGAGGACGCATCGTAAGGCCGCAACCCGCCACGGTACGGGATTCTCACCCTCTCCGACACCCTGTTCCAAGGGACTTGAGCAGCGGGCGCGGCCGATAACGCCTCTCTAGACCACAATTCGGGGGGCGCTGCATACGCGAGGCCTCCAGATTGGCAGCGTGAGCTCAGCCCGCTTCATTCGCCATTACTAGGGGCATCCTGGTTAGTTTCTTCTCCTCCGCTTAGTGATATGCTTAAGTTCAGCGGGTAGTCTTGCCTCATTCGATGGCGGGTTTCGAGGCGCGCGGCCGCACAGAGAGCGGCCGCGCGCCGGGGCGGGCGGGCCTCGCTCTCCCGGAGGAGAGGAGAGGCACCGCGCACGCCGGGGGTCGCGAGGCAGAACGGGGCACGCGTCCACCAGAGGTCTAGTCGTGGACTTAGCACTCCGGCGGGGACGCGGGTTAGACGCCGCCGCCGCGCTCGCAAGGCAGCCTTGGGCGGGCGCGCGAGGGGGCCGAGGCTCCCCCGCGCGGCCGCCGGCTCCGGAGACGAGAGAGAGAGCTCTCTCGCTCCGAGGAGGATGGAGGCGCCCCTCGAAGAGACATGCGTCCGAGCGGAGCCCGGATGCGCCATTTGCGTTCAAAGGTTCGATGATTCACTGAATTCTGCAATTCGCACTACGTATCGCATTTCGCTGCGTTCTTCATCGTTGCGAGAGCCAAGATATCCATCGGCAGGAGTTGTGGGGTTTCATAAGTTGAGGCAGCGCCGGCGTGAGAGCCCGCGCTGCGCAAGAGAGGGGGCCGTGGGGAGGGGAGAGACACGCGCGCGCCCGAGGCGCACACGTGCACTCCACACTCACCCAGGCGCGAGACAAGAGGGGTGCGGGCCCGGGTCGGCTCAGGAGAGCCCCCCGGACAGCCGCGCGCTCCGTGCGAACGCGGAGCCCGCGACGGGGTTAGACGGGGTACGGTGCAACATCGGTGTGGGTTGGAAAGACCGGTAATGATCCTTCCGCAGGTTCACCTACGGAAACCTTGTTACGACTTCTCCTTCCTCTAAATGATAAGGTTCGGACAGCTTCCCGCGGCGTCGCGGCTGGAGAACCAGCTGCGGCGCCGCAGTCCGGGGGCCTCACCGGATCATTCAATCGGTAGGAGCGACGGGCGGTGTGTACAAAGGGCAGGGACGTAATCAACGTGCGCTGATGACACACGCTTACTAGGAATTCCTCGTTGAAGATTAATAGTTGCAATAATCTATCCCCATCACGATGCAATTTCAAAAGATTACCCGGACCTCTCGGTCAAGGTGATAGACTCGTTGAGTGCATCAGTGTAGCGCGCGTGCGGCCCAGAACATCTAAGGGCATCACAGACCTGTTATTGCCGCGAACTTCCACTTGTTGAAGACAAGTTGTCCCTCTAAGAAGCTCCAGCGAACGGAGGGTTCGCGTCGCTATTTAGCAGGCTGCGGTCTCGTTCGTTAACGGAATTAACCAGACAAATCACTCCACCAACTAAGAACGGCCATGCACCACCACCCATCGAATCAAGAAAGAGCTCTCAATCTGTCAATCCTCACAATGTCTGGACCTGGTAAGTTTCCCCGTGTTGAGTCAAATTAAGCCGCAGGCTCCACTCCTGGTGGTGCCCTTCCGTCAATTCCTTTAAGTTTCAGCCTTGCGACCATACTCCCCCCGGAACCCAAAGACTTTAGTTTCCCGAAAGGTGCTGAAGGAGTCACAAATGGAACATCCTCCAATCCCTAGTCGGCATGGTTTATGGTTAAGACTACGACGGTATCTGATCGTCTTCGATCCCCTAACTTTCGTTCTTGATCAGTGAAAACATCCCTGGCAAATGCTTTCGCAGTGGTTCGTCTTCCGCTGGTCTGAGAATTTCACCTCTCTCGGCGGAATACGAGTGCCCCTGACTGTCCCTGTTAATCATTACTCCGGTGTTCGAAACCAACAAAATAGCACCAGAGTCCTATTTCATTATCCCATGCTAATCCATGCAAGAGCGACTGCCTGCTTGAAACACTCTGATTTTTTCAAAGTAAAAGACCCGTCTCCCGCGCCCGCTCAGTTAAGAGTAGGCGCGGTCTCCGGGTGGAAGGACGCGCCGGCCAGTGCATACCCATCGGCAGACCGGTCGGCCCGCCCCGAAATCCGACTACGAGCGTTTTAACTGCAACAACTTTAATATACGCTATTGGAGCTGGAATTACCGCGGCTGCTGGCACCAGACTTGCCCTCCAATTGATCCTCGTGAAGAGATGTAAATTGTACTCATTCCAATTACAAGACTAAAATAGCCCTGTATTGTTATTTCTTGTCACTACCTCCCTGTGTCAGGATTCGGGCAATTTACGCGCCTGCTGCCTTCCTTGGATGTGGTAGCCATTTCTCAGGCTCCCTCTCCGGAATCGAACCCTAATTCTCCGTTACCCGTTAACGCCATGGTAGGCCTCTATCCTACCATCGAAAGCTGATAGGGCAGAAATTTGAATGAACCATCGCCGGCGTAGAGCCGTGCGATTCGAGCAGTTATTATGACTCAGCACGCAACCGGAGACCGGTTTGGTTTCTTATCTAATAAATACATCCCTCCGTGAGTCGGGAACTCCTGCATGTATTAGCTCTAGAATTACTACGGTTATCCAAGTAGCAAGGTACCATCAAATAAACCATAACTGATTTAATGAGCCATTCGCAGTTTCACAGTATAGTCGCTTATACTTAGACATGCATGGCTTAATCTTTGAGACAAGCATATGACTACTGGCAGGATCAACCAGGTAGCCCGCAGACAACCCGCGGGGAGGGAGCCCAGTCGGAGACCAGACCCCTCCCACAACGGAAGTCCCGGACCAGACAGGGGCAGGCCAGCGCGCGCGGTCCGAGTCAGAGCCCTCCGTCTCCGGAGGGGACAAGAGACCACCGCGCGCGGCCGCCCAGAGTCTGACCGACAGTGCTCACTCCAAGGCCAACAAAGCCAAGGACACGTGTCGTAATCATGTTACAGAGCGCGGCTCTAGTCAGAGCCGCAGCCCTCGCGCGGCGCCAAGCCGCGGGCCGGCCCAGTACGGGCGGCCTCGCGGGGCGCCGCGCATCGCGCCTCCACTCAAGGATTCGCACGACCGCTCGGTGGCTAGAAGCGCATCACAACCGACACGCCGCAGCTCCACAGCAGGGCGGGAGCCGCTCCGAAAGGGGAGGGCTGCACCGCTGAGCCTGCCAGGGCCTTGTTACGCGGGGCCAGTCGAGGCGCCACCGCCACCGACAGTGCAGCCAGCCGACCCGCGCCCAGAGGAAACCTCCGAGCTGCGAGCCAGCCGCGCTGCGGGGTGAGGCGCACGAGGCGTCTGCCCATCGGGAAACCATCTGCTTCTCACACACAGCCGCTACCCAGGCGGCCCCATCCAGTCCGGAGGGGCACAGCGAGGGAGCTTTTGCGTCGGGGGAGGGTGAGTCCCCGCGGCGGCACGTGCTGACCAGGCGTCTACGTAACCGAGACTGGGGCCGGATCGCGCAGTGGCGACCCAACCCCGCCCAGCACCGCCTCACACGCACCAGCCGCTCAGTCAACCTACCGGGCCGCGGCTCAAACCGTAAGCAAAAGTCTGCTCCGGCGAACCGCGCCGAGGGAGCACCGCGCCGGCTGCCTCGCGGCCGCCGTTCTGCGCGTCTCCTCACCTATCCACCTGCTTGGGTGGCCGAGAGGGCGGTACCGACCGCGCGGGCAGCACCGCCAGACAAGCCCCAGTGTGTCCGCGCTGGTGCGCGTACTCGCGTTTGTATTCGCCGCAGAAATGCGTATTCCTCTAAGTGGTACGCCGGAGGGCGCCGCTTCGATTGGGTGAGACCATTACGAGCCGAGGCGCGGACACACTGGGGAAACTGCGGCCCCAGTCGTACCGATTCGCCCCGAAGCCGAATGGAATGGGACTGGGGATGCAAATGCGAACCGAACGCGACGTTTTGACTCGGAAACGCGCACACCGACTGCAAACAAAGCCAAACACACCCGAAACGAAGCGACTTGGGCCCCGCGGAGCCGGGAGACGGGCTCCGGGACCGGGGCGGACGGCACACCGACCTCGCCGCACCACACCCCGCCGCCCCGCCTCGGTGCACGGGACCGGGACGCCCCCGCCGCGGCCCCCCCCACCGCTGGGCGGGCCCCGCCGCGCCCCTCCGCCCTCCTCGCCCCACGGGCGGCCCCCCGGCTCCGCCTCCGGAGACCGGCGCCCGGCCCTCTGCGCCCGACCGGCGACCGCGCCGCGCGGCGGCTCTCTCGAGGCGCCGCCATGCGCCTCGGCGGCGGGGGGTGGACGCAGGCGCGGGGCGTCCGTCGGCCCTAGCGGTGGGGGGGGGGGGCGGGGCCGGGGGGGGCGGGGAGGGGGCGATGCGAGCGCATCTCCTCCCGGTCGCGGCGCAGGCCGCAGCCTAGCTGATTTGGTGTGGGTGCCGTGACGTGCGGCTCTAGACTCCAACGTTCGGAGAAAAATGGGACTGTTGGGCTGATTTTTTGTCACATCACAGGACACCCGCCAGTCTATGTCGTGTCACTCTCGATCACTATCTCGTGTCCGCACCCTCGCAGCCGCCCACCCCTCCTGCCGCCCTGCACTCCCCCCGGCGACAAGTGGCTCGATCCCGGCGGCTGCGGCAGCGGCAGCGGCAGGCGGCGACGCCAGAAGTGGCTGCTGCCCGGCGGCGCGCAGGAGCAGCGTGATCACCACGTGCGCGGCGATGAGGCCAGCAGAAGCGCAAGCGGCGACAAGATAGAGCGCGCGCCCTCCGCTGTGGCCAAATGCGCGGCCATGCTGCAGGAAGGAGCCGCCGAGGAGGGAACCGGCGGTGCGGCCGGCACACCACATCGCCGAGTTTAGGAGGAGCATGCCTGAGGTCTGCCACGCGGCGGGCACCTCCGCCTTGACCTGTTCACCGCCACAGGCGTGAGGAGGCGCTGTTCACGGCAGCGAGAAGCGCACCACCCGGCCCCGACCTTGTCCACGGCGGCGGTCCACGAGAGCGCGTACGTGATGCCGTGGAGCGGCTCCAGCGCGAGCAAGGCCCAGACTGTGTGCGGCTGGAGGCAGGAATAGCCGAAGACACGCAGCGCGTAGGCGAGGAGTGAGAGGAGGACCATGGCCTGACCGGAGCAGCGGGTGTGATGAGGCGCTCCTCGCAGCAGGCGGGCAGTGGGAGGAGGGGCAGGGCCTCGTGGCCGAGCGTGCGCAGCAGCGCGTCTCCGAAGTGGAAGATCGGCACCTCGAAGATAACGTTCACGGCGACGGAGTAGCCGCACAGGCTCTGCGAGCCTCCCAGCTCTTTGATGATGAAGACGAAGATGAACTTCTCGACCACCGTGAACGCGAGGCCGATCGCCATCATCTCGCAGAGGAAGAAGACGAAGCGAGGCCGGAGCGCTGCGCTGGCCAGGCTGGCGGCCTCCTCCGCCTCCGCCTCTGCCACGCCGGCCTCCGCCTCCGCCTCCGCCTCTGCCGTCTCCGCCTCAGTGGTGGCGGCAGCAAGTGTCGCGTCGGCGGGGGCGGCAGGGAGCTGGCGAGAGGAGGGGGAGCAGTCCTCGGGACGCTGCAGCGGCTCGCGCACGCTGTCGGCGGCGGCAGCCAGGCCGTCGGCGCGGCGGGCGGCGAGGTGGCTCTGCTGCAGCTGCCTCTGCTGCAGCTGCCTCTGCTGCAGGATGCGCCGCTCGCCGCGCGTCCTGCTCGGCAGCGCGGCCCCCATTAACCCGATCGCGAGCAGGTTGAGCGCGCCGCTGACGACGAAGTTGTAGTCGAAGCCGAGATGGTCGGCGACCCACCTGGGGAGGGGTCCGAGAGAGGGTGCGAGGAGGGTCCGAGGGAGGGTCCGAGAAGGCTCCTCGAGCCGGAAGGCGGGGAGTGGTCGGCCGCGCGCCCCATCAGCGCGTTGCCGATGCCCCACGAGACAGCGAGCCAGAGGCGGTACCGGCCGTACTCGCCCCGCCGCTCGTCGCCGAGAAGGTCGAGCGTGTACGCATCGAGCACCTGTCCACGGCTGCCGACGTGACGAGAGGTTTTCTGCAGCAGGTCGCACGGAGCGCGTCGAGAGCGCGCGCCCCTCCTCCGACGGCGAAGAAGGCCATCGCCACCATTATGGCGAGGATGTACGGGAAGGTGGCACGCGGCAGGCCCACCTGTCGACGGGAAACGGCTTACATGTGGCCGAGATGCAGCCGAGATGCAGCCGAGCTGCAGGCTTCACCCAGTGAGGCATCGGCAGCGCGAGCAGCAGGGCGGTGCTGACGGCCCGTGCGACGAGGGCGACCGCTTTCTTTCGCTGCAGCGAGTCGGAGAGGAGGCCGAAGAGCTGATTGCCGAGCAGCGCGACGATGGGCTGCGCGCCCTCTGCACGGAGACGGGGAGAGAAAGGGGTGGTGGGGAGGGCTAGGTTGCGTTGCTGTTACGCTGGTGGCGTTGGCCCGCCTACAATGCCGATGCGATGCGCGTCGAGGCCCGAGTCGAGGTAGAAGAGAGTGGCGAACCGGCCAAACGACGAGGCGGAGAACCCGCTCAAAAAGTACAAGACCTTCATGAGCCGCAGCAGGTGCGCTGTGGCTGCGTAACGGTGCACTGGAGCCTCAGCCACTCGGGCCTCAGGCGCCACCATGGCTCACGCGGCTCTGGCGCCACGGTGCTTGTCGGTGCTTGTCGGTTGTCGTCGCTTGCCCACGGTTGCGTCGGTTGTCGCGCTCGGCGCCACGGTTGCGGGGGATGTGCCGTGCTATTTCTTTTCTCGCTTCCACTTCTCACTTTCGTCCTTCCTATCTGTCCTATACTAGTGGGGGACCTGCGGCGGACCCGCCTCTGTTGTTCGCGGGCAGTGAGAGACGCGTGCCACTGATAAGTCAGTCAAAGCAGTCGCCGTTGCATGCAGCGACTCTGCTCACGTGCCACGACTGCTTTGACTGACTTATCGCGCAAACACGATCGGCCATCGCACCCACCGCAAACACCTCGCCGCACAGATGGGGGGAGGCATAATCCCACACACACCGGAGCAGCGCAGACACCTTACACGTCAGCGCTCGCTCGATGTGGCCGGCGCTCTCCCCTCTCCTATCGCCTTTTCAACGACGGCGTGCGGCCACGCGCCGCGCCGAGCCGGTCTCGGCGGGAGACCTCGGAGCCGCACGCGATGCGGGCGTGCGCGATGGCTCCGTTGGCTCCGTGCCTAAGGCAGATAGATTAGGGTGTGAGCTGCGGCAGCCACCGTTTCTGTACCTCGATCACGTGCAGGCCGTCGGAGGCCGCGATGGATGGCCCAGGGCCGGCGGCGGCGAAGGCGTCCGTCGATGAAGGGATGTCCTCGAGGGAGCCATCGTCCTACGCGGCGGTGCACCGGTCCAGTTGTCGGAGTTCGAGATCGCCGTCGACTTGGAGAGTTCGGCCCGTTGACGAACTCACGGAATGTGAGCGACTTGGTGCACGCTGATAGTCGAGCATCATGGCTCGCACCTCATCCTGAGCGCAAGGAACTCGCCCAGGGGCCAGCTGTTGGCGTCGCCGTTTTGATCGACCTGCATCCACTGCATGGTTTCGTAGTCAAGCGTAAACGCCCAGGAGTTGGTGCCTGGGTGACTTGCTGATGAGAGCGCCTTCCAGGCGGGTAGTCGTGCCCCTCACCTAAGGTCATACGGCGGCGTCAGAGGGGGGGGAGGGGCGCGAAGCGTGAACATGGAGGCAAGCAGGTGGCTGCACCTCGCCAAAGCCGGCGACCTCAAAGTTGTCGTAGGTTGTGCGGGTATCGCTGAGCGTGAGAGGGACTGGATCGGCAGCAGCGCGGGCGGCAGCGGCCGGAGAGGCCGGAGAGCCGTCCGACGGAGGCCGGTCGTGCATCGGCGCGTCGGCCGTAGGGGCCGGGGGGGCGGCGGCATCCATGTACATATATCGCTGCGGGTCGCTGCGGGCCGACGATTGTGGACTGATCGATCGTCGGCGGGCGGTGTCTCGAGTGTTCAGCTGGGACGTTCTACGTTAAAAGAGCGTCGGCGCCGACACGAGAGACTTATAAGGGTACTAGTGGGGGACCTGCGGCGGACCCGCCTCTGTTGTTCGGGCAGTGAGAGACGCAGGATCTGCACGCCAAAGTGGGGCCACTCCGCATTTTCATTTTGGTTTTGGGTTGTCGGAGATCATCCATCAGCACTCATAAGTCAGTCAAAGCAGTCGTGGCACGTGAGCAGAGTCGCTGCATGCAACGGCGCCGCCACACGCTCCGGACGACCGACACACCGACACACCACGCACAATGGGAGGCTATCGCGCACGATCGGCCTTCGCACCCACCGCAAACACCTCGCCGCACAGATGGGGGGAGGCATATTCCCACACACACCGGAGCAGCGCAGACACCTTACACGTCAGCGCTCGCTCGATGTGGCCGGCGCTCTCCCCTCTCCTATCGCCTTTTCAACGGCGGCGTGCGGCCACGCGCCGCGCCGAGCCGGTCTTGGCGGGAGACCTCGGAGCCGCACGCGATGCGGGCATGCGCGATGGCTCCGTTGGCTCCGTGCCTAAGGCAGATAGATTAGGGTGTGAGCTGCGGCAGCCACCGTTTCTGTACCTCGATCACGTGCAGGCCGTCGGAGGCCGCGCTGGATGGCCCAGGGCCGGCGGCGGTGAAGGCGTCCGTCGATGAAGGGATGTCGTCGAGGGAGCCATCGTCCTCCGTGGCTGGTGCACCGGTCCAGTTGTCGGAGTTCGAGATCGCCGTCGACTTTGGAGAGTTCGGCCCGTTGACGAACTCACGGAATGTGAGCGACTTGGTGCACGCTGATAGTCGAGCATCATGGCTCGCACCTCATCCTGAGCGCAAGGAACTCGCCCAGGGGCCAGCTGTTGGCGTCGCCGTTTTGATCGAGCTGCATCCACTGCATGGTTTCGCAGTCAAGCGTAAACGCCCAGGAGTTGGTGCCTGGGTGACTTGCTGATGAGAGCGCCTTCCAGGCGGGTAGTCGTGCCCCTCACCTAAGGTCATGCGGCGGCGTCAGCGGGGGGGGAGGGGCGCGAAGCGTGAACATGGAGGCAAGCAGGTGGTGGCTGCACCTGGCCAAAGCCGGCGACCTCAAAGTTGTCGTAGGTTGTGCGGGTATCGCTGAGCGTGAGAGGGACTGGATCGGCAGCAGCGCGGGCGGCAGCGGCCGGAGAGGCTGGAGAGCCGTCCGACGGAGGCCGGTCGTGCATCGGCGCGTCGGCCGTAGGGGCCGGGGGGGCGGCGGCATCCATCGCTGCGGGTCGCTGCGGGCCGACGATTGTGGACTGATCGATCGTCGGCGGGCGGTGTTCTCGTGTTCAGCTGGGACGTTCTACGTTAAAAGAGCGTCGGCGCCGACACGAGAGACTTATAAGGGTAGACTAGTGGGGGACCTGCGGCGGACCCGCCTCTGTTGTTCGCGGGCAGTGAGAGACGCAGGATCTGCACGCCAAAGTGGGGCCACTCCGCATTTTCATTTTGGTTTTGGGTTGTCGGAGATCATCCATCAGCACTCAATAAGTCAGTCAAAGCAGTCGTGGCACGTGAGCAGAGTCGCTGCATGCAACGGCGCCGCCACACGCTCCGGACGACCGACACACCGCCACACAACGCACAATGGTAGGCCATCGCGCACGATCGGCCATCGCACCCACCGCAAACACCTCGCCGCACAGATGGGGGGAGGCATAATCCCACACACACCGGAGCAGCGCAGACACCTTACACGTCAGCGCTCGCTCGATGTGGCCGGCGCTCTCCCCTCTCCTATCGCCTTTTCAACGGCGGCGTGCGGCCACGCGCCGCGCCGAGCCGGTCTCGGCGGGAGACCTCGGAGCCGCACGCGATGCGGGCATGCGCGATGGCTCCGTTGGCTCCGTGCCTAAGGCAGATAGATTAGGGTGTGAGCTGCGGCAGCCACCGTTTCTGTACCTCGATCACGTGCAGGCCGTCGGAGGCCGCGCTGGATGGCCCAGGGCCGGCGGCGGTGAAGGCGTCCGTCGATGAAGGGATGTCGTCGAGGGAGCCATCGTCCTCCGCGGCTGGTGCACCGGTCCAGTTGTCGGAGTTCGAGATCGCCGTCGACTTGGAGAGTGTGTTCGGCCCGTTGACGAACTCACGGAATGTGAGCGACTTGGTGCACGCTGATAGTCGAGCATCATGGCTCGCACCTCATCCTGAGCGCAAGGAACTCGCCCAGGGGCCAGCTGTTGGCGTCGCCGTTTTGATCGAGCTGCATCCACTGCATGGTTTCGTAGTCAAGCGTAAACGCCCAGGAGTTGGTGCCTGGGTGACTTGCTGATGAGAGCGCCTTCCAGGCGGGTAGTCGTGCCCCTCACCTAAGGTCATACGGCGGCGTCAGAGGGGGGGGAGGGGCGCGAAGCGTGAACATGGAGGCAAGCAGGTGGTGGCTGCACCTGGCCAAAGCCGGCGACCAAAGTTGTCGTAGGTTGTGCGGGTATCGCTGAGCGTGAGAGGGACTGGATCGGCAGCAGCGCGGGCGGCAGCGGCCGGAGAGGCCGGAGAGCCGTCCGACGGAGGCCGGTCGTGCATCGGCGCGTCGGCCGTAGGGGCCGGGGGGGCGGCGGCATCCATGTACATCGCTGCGGGTCGCTGCGGGCCGACGATTGTGGACTGATCGATCGTGGCGGGCGGTGTTCAGCTGGGACGTTCTACGTTAAAAGAGCGTCGGCGCCGACACGAGAGACTTATAAGGGTAGATATGTTTAACAGATTACTCACGAAATTGTCAGACTAGACAAGCAGAATCCTTGACGCAAATTGACGATCACTCGATCAGCCCGGTCCTCCTTTGCCACAGAGTCTGACTCGGCGCTCTCCCTCTTATCACGCATTACGTGCTGCAGTCATGGGGACGACCCGAGATAGCGCGCCGCAAACGCACTGCGCGGCGACCCTCGCGTCGCTGGCGAGCCGGGGCTGGCGCCCGCCAGCGGGGCGGCGGCCCTCCCGCCCGCCGCCCGCTGCATCGACCGCATCTCGCGCTCCAGCTCGGCGACCGACCCCTCGAGCGCCTTGACGGACGCCTGCAGCGAAGCGCGCAGCTCGCCCGCCGCCTGCTTGTGCTCGCGCGACTGCGACTGCAGGCCCGACAGCGCGCGCCCCACCTCGCCGAAGCGCTGGCCGAGCTCCTCCGCCGCCTCCTCCGACTGCTGCAGCCTCGCCTCCGCCTGCCGCACGCTCGCGCGGCACGCCTCGACGTCGTCCTCCGCGCGGCGCAGCTGGCTGCCGTACTCCTCGAGCGAGCTGCCGATCTCGCCCGCGCGGTTCGAGATGGCCATGAACTGCTCCGCCTCACGCGCCAGCACCTGTTCACGCCGCGACGCCGTGAAAGAAAGCACGGCTCCGGCCCTCGCCACACGCGAGCACCTGCTGCTCGGTCGTCTTGCGCGCCTCCTCCGCCTCGGCGCGCAGGACCTGGAACTCGGCCATCAGCGACTGCACCGCCTTTGCGCCTGCCTTCCGCACCTCCTCCTCGGCCGCCTCGACGGACGCGAGCTTGCGGCCCGCCTCGGCGTGCGCCTCTCGCTGCCTCGCCGTCTCCTCGCGCAGCTCCTGCTGGCACCCCGCCAAGTGATACTCTCTGTCAATGACTGGGTCGTCACTTGTTCGTGAGTCGCTCCTGCTGGTACTCGGCCACGACTCGCGTCGCCTCCGCCTGTGGGAGGAACTCCGCCTTGAGAGGGTGCGGATGGCTAGCCGAGGCCTGCCCGAGACCTGCCCGAGGTGTGAGAGGAGGCGGCCTCCGCCTGCGCCAGCACCTCCGCCTTGAGCTCCTCCGTCGCCCGGCTCCGCTCGCGCGCATCCTCGACGCAGAGGCGCCACCTGCCACCAGCACGCGCTGTGAGGAGACGACGAGCACAGCACCCATCCCGCCATCGGCACACGCCGCCGCCCTCCCCGCCGCCTCGCGCCGCCGTTGCCACAGGAAAGTGTCTACGCAGCGTCGGGAAGTGTCCCGGCAGTGTCCCTTTAGTGTCTAGGAGGCGCGCCTCTCCGCCGCCTCGCGCCGCAACGTCTCCACGTCGGCAGACAAGCCGCGCGCCCACTCCTCCGCGCCTACACGGCGGCTACCCAGACGCTCGAGCAAGGCTGCAGGCACCGCCCCACCCTGCCCCCTCCTCCCGCACCGCGCGAGTGCTCCTCGAGCAGCGCACGCGTCTGCGTCAGCTCGGCGTCCTGGCGATCCGCGCCGGCCTGCAGCGCCGACCGGGCCTCCTTGAGCGGCGTGATCTCCGCACGCAGCTTCGCCGCGTCGCTGTGCACGCCCTCAATCTCCGCGTCGACCAGGTTGGAGAGGGCTCCGAACGCACGCTTGATCTTGGCCATCTCGCTGCTGAGGTGACTGCACGTCTCGCGCAGGTCAGAGTTGACGCCGCGGAGGTGCGCGTTCTCCTCCGCCAGCGCGGCCACCTGAGACCTGACCGCCGCCAGCTCCATCGTGCCCAGCGGAGAGCCGCCCCAGCCAGCGGCGGTCGGCTGGAAGGCGGCGGCCGGCGGATGCGGCGGCGGATGCTGCTGCGGGTACGGCGGCTGGTGGTGGTAGGGATGCGGCTGCTGGTAGGTGGGAGGCTGGTGCATGCTCGGGTGGAGCTGAGGAGGCGACAGCATCGGGGAGGGCACCGACACTCCCTCGGCCGTTGGAATTCGTTCGCCTCCCTGGCGCGCTGGGGTGCCTGAATTGTCCTTTTGTTTTTCGATCTTTCGCTGCGGGTGAATTCTGGCCAGCCTCCCCCTCCGTGTTGCGATGCGCTCCCCGCCCGCTCGCTCGCTCCCGGCGCCGGCCCGCTCCCCTGTGTCCTGATCGTCCTTCCATCCAAGATCCTGCTCGTGCAGGTGTGGGGACCCTGTCCTTCTCCCAGCTCCCACCGCCCTCCCTCGACCGACCCTCGTTTGTTGCGGTTTGGCGTGTGCGATTTATTTTATTAATGAGAGTGAGTGAGAAAGAGACGAGTGTGTGTGCGACGGTGTGTGTCTGTGTGTGGCTCTGTGCTTGTACGGCGCAATGAACAATCGAATGCTAAGTGGAGAAGCTGCTACGCTCTACACATGTAGGTGGTGACGAGTAGAAAAGTGTGTGTGAGTCGCGTCACCCGAATGCCGCGGCCTGCGCGGCTGCGACGGCAGCTGCACCCTCCTTGCCAAGACCCGTGATCCCTGCCGTGACTGCCCCGGTGAGCGCCATGGTGCGCATGCCGGTGGCGCCACGGAAGTCGGATCCGCTGAGGACCGCCTCGTTAAAGTTGGAGCCGGCGAGCTTTGCGGAGGCGAACGAAGACGACTCAACCACGGCAGCTTCAAAGATGGCGTTGCGGAGGTCGGCGCCGCGAAAGTCGGCGCCGACCAGGGCGGCCTCGAGGAAGTCGACCCCCAGCGCGTCCGCCGACCGGAAGGTAGCGCCGTCGCCCGACACGCCGACGAACTTCGCCCCCTTAAGTCGTGTGCGGTCCAGGTTGGCGCAGTCCATGTTGACGCCCGTAAAGTCGACGCCCTCGAGGTTGCGGCCCGATAAGTCCGCGTTGATCAGGTCCTGGCACGGGCCGCCCCCGTGCCGCACCGCCGCGGCGACGTCGAACCCGGGCACGAGGAACGGGCAGCAGCCGCAGTTCGGGCTTATGGCCTTGTGTCCGCATACCTTGGTGTGGAAGGCGATGCGCAGCGGCGAGGACGGCGGCATCGGCGGCGTCGATGTCAGCCACAGCGGCACCGACGCCGCTGCGGCCGGATGAGCGACGCCGACGGCCCACGTGCCGCCATTGCTGACGCAGGCCTGCTCGGTCGCAGCCGGATAGCGCACCAGGTCACGGCACGCGCCCTTGTAAAGGCAGCCAGAACACGGCGGCGAGGACGGCAGCGGTGGAAAGGGCGGCGGAGGCGGAGCCGGCAGCGGAGAGCGCAGCGGCACCCCGCTCGGCGGCAGGGGGAAGAGTAGCGCCGGTGGGGGCGGTGGGGGCGGCATGGCGGCGATGAGGGAGGCGGCTGCAGTCGGCGTCGGCAGGGAGATCTGGTAGGCGAGAGGGCTCGCGTCCTGGCGCACCTTGCAGATGTAGCCCGCGAGCGGGACGGACTTGGAGATCGGCTGCGTCTGCAGCTCGCACTGGCCGGCGCTCTGCCACTCGTAGCCTGTGCACCGCGGTTCCAAGACGCATGCCGTCTCGCAGTCATGCACGCCAGCGAGCCAGTACTGCAGCACGAGACCGCCACCAGCGCGGCCCCTGCCGCGAAAAAGAGCGGCAGTCGACGGGTTGGCGCTGGCGGATACGAAGCAGAGCCCTTCCGACCCTCCCGTCGGCGCGAGGAAGTGCGTCGTCTTGCTCATCGTTAGGGCCGAGAGACGGAGCCCTTGGCGTTTTTCGCCAGACGCCGAAGACACAGAGCCAAAGATGACCGCCCGCAAGATCGTTTACCACACGTGTCTGTCCTCGACCCCAGCCTCGAGACCCCAGCCAGCCCTAGCTTGGCCTGGGCGTTTTCTTTCTTTTTGCGGTGATACAGTCGCGCTGACCCCAGGAGGCAGTGACCAGGCGCGAAGGGCAACGCTGGAACTGTGGCGGAGGAGAAGTCGACCCACCTTAGGCCGGACGGAAGTGGGTAGCCGTAGAATCTAACTCGCGATAACTCGCTGGGCAAGGGGGCGCTGGCGCGCACACTAATGCAAACCAAAAAACACAAACGTTAAATTTGTTCGGTATCTTGTTGGACGGCAAGTTGGAGCACCGCTTAGCCATTCAATCTCCCCGCCGTGGGTGCCTTCCTTTGATCTTTGAGCCGAGCAAAAGGCTGATCTAAATGAGTAGCAGATGAAATTGTGGTACCGGGGTCCAAGGCGAGAACACGCGTCGATGGAACGCACACAGAGAACGTCAGAGAGACTTAACTGCCTCCACGGCCTCGGCCCTGAGGGCCGGGTAGGAGGGGTCTAGGTTACCTCTACCTCTGAGGGCCTGCGGCCCTCTTACCTTTACCTCTGGGCAGCCGTGGGCCCTTTACCTCTACCTCTGAGCGACGTAGGACCATGATTTACCTTTTGCGTGATCTCTCGTGTCTCGAGAGTGATCGAACTGATATCTCTCGAGTGATCTCGATAATATGTGATCTCGATGCAGCTATCTGCGATTTCCACTCGCCGGCTCGTAGAGAAGAGAAAATACAAACAATGCGCAGCCGCACGAGTGTTTCTGAGATGTGCCCGCCATCCATGCACCATGGTTGGGCGCGCAGGACGAAGAAAATTTTGGTAGTCGAGAGCCTTTTCTAATAAGAAAATGGCTTCTCCTCGGCGCCATACCGCTTTTCGGCGCACAGCGGAGTTCGCAAACCTGGCATGCTGCCTTCCCTTCTACGTACACTTTCAGAATGGAGGCAAACCTCAGCGCAGGGCTCAGCTGTGCCCAGACCAAGTCGATTTGTACCATAAAGTTGGTAGACAGTGCCAAAACCACGGAATCGAAAATGGCTCTTAAATTCGCGCACCTGGTGTCCGCACTGCCGCATGGTGCGAGCCGCCACTCATGAGAAGGTCTCCGCTGCGATACTTTTGCTGTCTGCGTCAATGCAGCATCCCATCGAGCGCGTCACTATGACCTGACCCCTCTGATAACCGACGTCGCCAACGGCAAGCCTGCGTCCGTGTTGCATATGTTCTCCAGTCATGTTCGTATTGCGGTGGATTGCCAATTCGAGCCACTCGAGCAATCATGCACAATCAATGCGCCGAGAGACGCAGATTCTTTGCACCGCGCGGGTTAGGGTTGCCTAACGTTAATTTGGGGCCTAACAGTTGCGCTATTGTTGGCTGAAATCCTCAACGTTGTTCAAGTGTTCTCCCCAGCCCAAGCTGTTACTGTTTGTTACTGTTGTTACTGTTGTTCAGCGGCCAGCAAGCAGAAAATGGCAAAAAACCCGGGTAAAAGCTAAAACCCGAAAATACCTGGGATTTTCCGGGTATTTCGGATATTACCCGCACTGGACACTAGAGATCGTCGTGGGTCACTGCCAGGCCTTCCTTATTGTTGTTCAGCCGGCCTAACGTTAGCTACTGTTGTTGGGGGGCCCCACTGTTGCGTTGTTCTGTTGTTACTGTTAACACTAGCAACACTGTTCAGCTCTTAACGTTAGGCAACCCTAGCGCGGGTTAGCAGGCAGGCAGCAAGGTCAAGTGGTCGCGGCACTGGCCATTCGCGATGCGGTAGGTGATGCGATCAGCCGTCGGCAAGCGGCGGTGAAGCCTGGTCCATGGCCGGGCAGGCGCGCCGCAAGGCTTTTCGCGCTCTCGCGGGGGCCTTGGTCGTCCCGCCTCAGAGGACAGAGCCCTCGGCGGGTTACGTTCACGGGCGTACGTTTACCTGGCCTCACGTGGTTTCCGTTTACCTCTACATCCGGCGGTCTGAGACAGGTTTACCTTTACCTGAGGCCCCCCACGCCAGCCCTACCTCTACCTGCGCCCCCGCCCTCAGAGCCGAACGGCCCGCCCGGCCTCACGTCACCATCCGCACGGATTTGAATGAGCTCCTGCGACCGCAGCCGAGCCCGCCCTCGCGGCGCCGCTCGAGGACCCCCCCTCGCGGCGCCGCTCGAGGACCCCCCCTCTCGTCGCCGCGCGGCGCGAAGCTCCCCGACCCGGGGCAGACCCTCGGGCGCCGAGAGGCCTTCAGCGCGCCCGCCGTGCGCCGAGGGCCAAATCATGCGGGGCGCAACGAGCCCCCTCCCCCGAGAGTTCCGTGGCCTCGTCAAACCTGCAAACCGTGGTCCCCGCCCTGCACCGCCGGCCCATCGACGACCGTCGGCTGTGCCTGCAAGCGGCGTGGTGGACGCGTTGCGCGAGGTAGCGGAAAGAGAGGGGCAGAGCAGCGCTCTCTCTGGGCGGCGGCGGCATGGGTTGCGTGAGACTGTTTTTGCGGCGCGAAGCCTCACCTCGCGCGACATGTACTGGGCTGCGGTCGACGGGTTGGCCCTGCTGGACGGGGCGTCGGTGGGCTTGACGAGGCAGTTGATTGGCAGGATTAGCATCACGAACACCTATTCATGGCGACGAACTGAAGAGGCGCCGCTTGGCTGTGGGCTGGGGAGGCAGAGGCGCGCACCCAGACACAGATAGAGCAGTCCATCCCTGGTCCGGGCACCATGTCGATATCCTTCCGGGCGTAGACAGAATAGCTGCCGCCTGCAGCGCGCGCAAAGGCTGGAGCGTCGGACGGGGCTGGCACGAGGGTGAAGTGTAGCGTCCTCCTGGCCGCCATCCCGACTGCACATCGTGTCTCGCCGTCAACCTCTCGCTAGCGCGTACGTGGCAGGCAGTTGGCCGAGAAGGTGCCAAAGGTAATGACGAGGAAGAGCCACGCCAGGCAGAGCGATATCGTCGCCCCCTTCTGCCTCTTTGGCGAGTCAGCCAGCCGGCGCGCGGTGACGAAGCAAGCAGCTGCGAGGGTGGCAAAGAAGGCGACGATTGTGCAAAAGCCCAGCCAGTGCTTGAGCGAGTTGGTTCGGCAGACCTGCGCCGGAGGCCGTGGGAGCGTGACAATCGTCGGAGGGCCGTGGGAGCGTGACAATCGTGGCCAGCTCCGATGGCGCCAAGGCGATCTGAGCCGCGCGCCTTGTCAAAGAACTCGTCGTCAGGCAGGGTGCCATTGTCAGTCGGAAAGACGAAGTCGTCTTTGCACTCGTCCAGGTCCTCCCACTTTTTGCACTCGAGGTCGCTCGACGTCACGACACCCTCGTCCTCGCTCACGAAGAGGTTCGGCTTGGAGCAGAGGCCGTGGAAAGAAATCACCACGTAGTTACTGAGGGCGGTGAGGGCGGCGGCGGTGTTGGAAACGGCGGTGAGCGCCGGCGAAAGCGGCAGTGAGGGAGAAGAACAATAAGAAATAGATGTTCGAGAGGAAGTGGAGGAGAGAGGCAACAGAGCTCAGAGGTGGAGTAGCGGCGGTGTGGCCTCCACCTGTCTACGTAGGTGTCTGTCCCCCACGAGGCGCCCCACACCTGCGGCCAAGGCCACTGCGTGAGCGGGAGGACACAGAGGCGAGAGGAGGCCGCCACAGGCGGGCCGAGGCGACTCCGGTCCCACGCAAGGACGGCACTGGTGTCGAAGGGCCGGCGTGCTCGAGCCGGCGCGGCTGGCAGGAGGCAAGCACGCACGCCGCGCCAAGGCGAGGCCGGCATCTGACGTGGTGCTTTACGGCCGTGTCCCACCCGCGAGGAGAATATCGCGCACACCGGCCTCTCGCGTCGGGACGCGGCTGGCCAGGGCTCCGATGGGGCGCGGGGCAGCGGAGGCGGCGCGGCTCACTGCATTGCACTGGGGGGAAGGGTGGCCGGGCGCGCAGAGGCGCGGGCGAGGAGGGGCACTTAGGGATGGCGCCCTGGCAACGTGTCCCTGACGGAGGGGCATGGCGGCTGCGGCTATTGGCTTGGTGGCCGCACCGTGCTCGGCACAACTGACATCCCGCAGAGGGCGACGATAAGGAGGATGACCGAGAGCCAGAGCAGGAAGATCATGGAGTGGATCCAGCATTGGCGGTTCTCCTTGAGGCACTTCATCGCCGCGCCGGGACCCGCGCGCTCGCGTTCCCTTGCCGCCTCCGCAAGGCCTCCGGCCGCGTCAACAGGACCTTGCTTGGCCCTCACACGGGCGCTTTTTACCTTACCGGGCGCACAATCTTTTCAAGCTTTACGGCGCTTCGGGCGGGCAACGTTGGTTGTGGGTGGGTCGTCTGCGTGGCCGAAAAAGACCGGAAGGATCACCCTCTAACAATTGAGAAGGGTGAGATGGTGGGAGAATGGCAAGCCGTAGAAAAAGCATTAAAAAACATCCACCTCAAATCTAAGAAAATGCGCGGGTCCCCACCTACTCGAGTAGACGGATCACTTCCGTTGGAAAGGATCAGCGACAGGGAAAAAGAAAGAGGGAAACCTGCCCTCGCGCTGTGGGCTGCTCTCTGCTCAGGACTCTCAGGCCGCAGTCGAGTCGAGCGGAAAGAACGCATCACCTGCGTCACACACACATCGGCCTCCTCTCCGATGCCGGCGGCGCTCGCGCCCAAGGTCAAGAACCGCAAGCCATCCGCGGGACCACAGCTCGACGCTGAAGTGGCAGAGATCCTCTCGGACGCGCTCGACCCTCGCAACAAGTCGGCCGACACCTACAACGAGGACATCGTCGAGGCGCACACCCACGCACATCGCCATACCAACACACATCGCCGTGCCGCAGCCACAGCTCGCGTGCTGCCGATTGCCGCGCCACCGCCGCCGCTGCTGCCACTGCTGCCGCTGCTGCCGCCGCCACCGCTGCTGCCGCCGCCACCACCATCGCTGCTGCGGCTGCCGCCACCGCTGCCGCCACCGCTACCTGGCACGCTGTGCAGCACGAGCACGCACGGCCACATCCGCACGCTCTCCCGCTTGCAGGCCTTCAAGCGCGTGCCCAAGGAGAACATCGAGGCTGCGGCGGCGGTCTGCCGCGACATGGGCAACGAGGCCGTCAAGAGCGAGCGGTGGGAGGAGGCGGTCGAGCACTACACGTCTGTCCTCTCCGCCTACCCGCACGACCACGAGGCGCCTCCTTCCGGCCGTCAGCCATGCAGTCGCCACCCGTGACTGGGAGGCGCCGTCCGGTCGCACACTCCGAGTAGCAGCCGCTCTTCCCCTCCGACCCGACCCCAGGTGCTCGCTAATCGGTCGCTCGCCCTCCTCTCGCTCAAGCGCGGCCCCGAGGCGCTGCAGGACGCCGCGCTCTGCGTCACCCTCAAGAAGAACTTCGCAAAAGGGTCGCGCCCTCGCACACTGCGCCCCTGCGCGAGCGGCGCGAGCGCGGGAGCAGCGCCGTGCGGCTGCGGGTAGGTACTACCGCTTCGGCTGTGCGCTCGAGGAGTGCAAGATGTACAAGGAGTGCGCGTCGGTCTTCGCAAAGGTGGTCGAGATGGAGCCGGGCAACGTCGAGGCGGGAGGGAGGCTGCTCAAGGCGAGATGATAGCCGAGATATAGCCGAGATATAGCCGAGATATAGCCGAGGCGGGAGGGAGGCTGCTCAAGGCGCGCGGCCGGTCGAGAGGGGGAGGGGGGGTGCGCTTAGACGGCGCCGATCTCAGCGGAGCGTCTCCCCACAGGCGCGCAACTTGCTCGAGATGGTGATGAACGTCGAGCGGGTGCGAGATTAGCCGAGATATAGCCGAGATATTGCTCGAGATGGTGATGAACGTCGAGCGGGTGCGCAGCTGCTGCTGCTGCAGCCTGCTGCTGCTGCAGACGCCCACGCGGGGCCTCTGTCGCCCATCCGCCCCTTCTACCGCCAGGTGAGCGACCCTCTGTGGATGCACAAGCCGGAGCCGCCGAAGAGCGAGGTGCAGAAGCGGGCGGAGGACGCGCAGGCGGAGCACGAGCGCGAGATGAGCCACTTGCGCGAGGAGATCGGCAAGGCGAGCTTCGACTACGAGTACCTGCACGCACCCATGTCCAAGTCGGACCGCTGGTACGAAGAGTCGATGATGGCCAAGGGCCTCAACATGCACCTCCTCGCGCACTCGGCCGTCCTCGCGCCGCGAGAGGAGCCGCACCGCTCGCTGCCGTCCGCCTCGGCGCGACCGCGGCTCGCAGCTCCGCCCCTCGCCCGTAGGAGCTCGCCCGGCTGATGGACGCCGCGCACGTCGACTCGTTCGCCGAGGCGATCCGCGAGCACGTGCCTCGCATGGTGCCGGCCGGACAGGCGCGCCGACACGAGATCTGCCGAGATCTGCCGAGAGCTGCCGAGAGCTGCCGAGAGATGCCGAGATCTGTGGCGGGTGCTGCTGCTTACGCCCTCCGCCACCACATCTCGGCACATCTCGGCCGCACCTCACCACCCGCTGGCAGGCGGGCGTGGTGCTGCTGCTGGGTGGGACGATGGGGCTGCTCCCCCTCCTCGCCCTCGAGGCTGGCGCCAACCAGGTGTACGTGTGCGAGGCGCCCGGCTCTGCGCAAGAGAGGGCCGAGCTGCAGCGAGATTCAGCGAGATTCGGCGAGACTAGGCGCATGGCTTCTGCGCAAAGATGGCGCACGCGTCGGTGGGGAGGCACACGCTGCTCGCCTTCGAGCGCGAGAACTGGTCGCGGCTGCCGATGACCCTCGGCCTCGCGGAGCGGACGCGGCAGGCCGGCTCCGCGGCCTTCAAGATGGGGCAGTTCGACCAGGCGGTCGCGCTGTACACGGAGGCGCTGCAGGCGTGCGCGGGGGGCGAGCCTTGGCTTGCGGGGTGCGAGATCGCGGCGAGATGAGCCGAGGCTGCTCGAGGCGTAGGCGGCGGAGAGCCTCTCCGCCGACGGCGAGCTCAGGACGGCGCTGCTCTGCAACCGCTCCGCCTGCTACCTGAGGCTCGAGACACTTCCTAGACACCTCCTAGACACCTCCCACACACCTCCTAGACACCTCCGCCTGCTACCTGAGGCTCGGCTACCTCGCCTCCGCCTGCTACCTAACCCTAACCCTAACCCTAACCCTGCTACCTGAGGCTCGGCGAGGCGGAGTCGGCGCTCGAGGACGCAAAGGCGGCGCAGCGCTGCCTGCCCGAGCAGCCAAAGCCGCGCTACCGGCAGGCGCAGGCGCTGCAGGCCCTCGGCCGAAACGGCGAGGCGCGCGACGCGCTGGCGGGCGTCATCCAGCGCTCACGGGGCGGCAAGAACGCGGACGCCGAGCGGCTGCTGTCGGAGCTCGAGGGGCTGCCCGCGCGCGGGCCCGCGCTGCCAGGCGCGAGGGCGGGCGGCGGCGGCGGGGCGGGCGGCGGCGGGGCGGGCGGCGGCGGCGCGGGCGGCGGCGGCGGCAGGCCGCCCGCGCGGGAGGACCGCGCGCAGCGGCTGACGGTGAAGGAGGTGAACGAGGCGCTCGAGTCGCGTTGCGCAAAGGCGCGCCGCACCGGCCTCTTGACGAGCCGCGGAGGCCGCCTGCTGACCTAGGCCTATGCGTCCACAGGTGCGCGCGCTGCACCGCCCCTTCGACGAGCTGCGGCTGCACCACGAGCTCGAGCACAAGCCCGACCTGCTGCTGCTGACCAACTTCGACTACACGCTGCTCGGCAGCGGCATCGTGACGGCGCTCAACAGCCTCAAGGCGGAGGAGCTGCTTCGCCCGGGCACGGCGGTGCTCCCCCCCGCCGCGCGCGTCTGGGCGATGGCGGTGCAGGTGCTCGCGGACACGGGCGTCCCGATCGACTCCTCCCCCGCCGAGAAGCTGCTCTGGTCGCCCACTCTCCGCCGCGTCTGCCTCGACGAGCCGCACGCCCGCCGCACTCTCCGGCCGCTCACCCGGCCAGCGGTGGTCTGCGGCTTCGACTTCCGCGCGACCGCGCCGCCCATCAAGCCGGACAAGTGCGCGCTCGAGCTCAGCGTCGTCGAGGACGGCCGCGCCAACGCGGTCGTCTTTTGGTTCGAGATGCCTCTCGGCGCGGGCGGCGTCGTCTCCTCGGCGCCCCTCGCCGCCCTGCCGGCCGGCGCGGCGCAGCTCGGGCTCGGGCAGGCGCTCCAGTACCTCGAGCCTGCGCCGGTGCGGGAGGGCGGCCGGCTGCTGCTGCACGCGTCGCACAGCCGCACCCGCTTCCTCTTCTCGCACGCGGAGGTCGACGGGAGGCCCGCGCCGCTGCCGCCGCCGCGGCGCCGCCTCTGTGCCGCGGCGGACGCCTCGTCCCGAGCTCGCCGTCCACTAGTCGTCGATTCGCTCCCCAGGCGCGGCCTCGTCCTCCAGTCGCAGCTCCAGCTGCTGCAGGACGCGAACCTCAACCGCACCATGGCTGCGGCGCTGCGCAAGGCCCGCCCCCCGCCGCCCCCACCCCCCCCGCCCCCACCCCACCCCCACCCCACCCCACCCCGCCGACAGCTTCACCGCGTCGGCCCGTGAGCAGGCCCTCTTCCGGCTGCCCGCCTCGAAGCCCGCCCTCGTGCTGCACGTCAACGCCGGCATCGGCACGCAGTCGGTGGTGGCGGCGCAGGCGCGGCCAGACGTCGCCGACTATGTCGTGGCGTGCGAAAAGTCAGACCACGCTGCTCGAGCTCGCCGCGCCGCGGGGCGGCGTCCCCTCACACCGGCTGGTGTGAGCAGGTCGTCCACGCTCCTCGAGGTCGCCGAGCAGATCGCGCGCAGCAACTCGGTCGGCGAGCGCATCTCCTTCCTGCAAAAGGACTGCCGCAACCTCAAGGCGCGCGCGCTGCGCCCCCGCGAGAGCGACGCTGGACCTGCTGGGGGGTGCCGTCGCGCGGTCTCGGCGCGACCTCGGAGCCCCCTCCCACCCTTCCCCCGCAGGCGCACGAGGACATGCCTCACAAGGCGGACGTGCTGCTGCTCGAGTGCCTCGACACGGCCCTCCTCTCCGAGGGGATCCTCCACTACCTTCAGCACCTGCGCGGCTCCTTCACCGCAGAGCACGCCGCCATCCTCCCCGCGGCGGCCGTCGTCAAGGGCATGCTCGTCGAGATGCGCAGTGGGGAGGTGCGCGGCGTGGAGAGGACAATGGTGCCAGCCGCGGACCCGTCCCTGACGCGTCCGCCACGTGCCCGCGACAGGTGCACGGCGTGGACATGACCATGTCGGACGCGTACCGCTGGTCCAAGGAGATGAAGCCGGTGCACCTCAAGGAGGAGGAGTACACGCAGCTCACCGAGGTGTTCGACATCTTCGTCTTCGACTTCATGTCCTCCGCCGTCGAGCAGCAGGTCGAGAACCTCGAGATCGTCATCTCGAGGGACGGGATCGTGTCGGCGCTCGTCGTCTGGTTCGACCTCATCCTCGACGAGGACATCGTCGTCTCCACCTCGCCCTTCGTCCCGCCCGAGCAGGCCCTCTCCTTCGGGCAGGGCCTCGTCTACCTGCAGCCCGCCGAGACGCGCGTCCGGCGCGGCGCAACGCTGCCGCTGCTCGCCGCGCACAACTCGCTCGAGATGATGTTCACCATCGAGGAGGACAAGCTCACGCGCAAGGGCGCCGACTGCGAGCTGCTGCCGCACACGCGCTTCGACCCGCGCTGGGAGGGCGCGCGCGTCAACCTGGACGACCAGTGGAAGAAGATCATCCAGGGGCTGGCCGCGGCGCCAAAGGACTCGGCCAGCCTGCAGGAGGGCGTCATGCGCTTTGCCGCGCAGTCGGCCGCCTTTGGCATCGACACGGGCGTGGCAGAGCGGTGCGCCCTCACCTTTCTCAGTGACTAGGGGCGAGTGGGCGGGAGGGTGTCGGGGGTCAGCAAGCGGGCGCACGTGGGTGCGATAGAGACAAGAGAGGGGAGGCGCGGTGGGGGGCCACCCCGAGACATGTACAACATGTGCGCGTGGAGAGAAAACGTCAACACCGCACCGGTAGCCTTGTGCACCCCACCCTTGGCTCAAGCTGCTGCGTTGTGTGTGGTTGCGCGCGCAAAGCATGTTATTCTTACATGAGTCATGACTAGGTAAGGTAGGGTGAAATTCTGAAAAACGTGCAGCACTTCTAGCCGACATCGACAAAAGTCACTCTCTAGCCCCGCGGCGAGCGGCCCCGCCGGAGGCGAAGAAAATTTTGCCATCTAGCGCTCTCTAACACACATTTTTGCACAAATCGACGCCTCCAAACAAGTTCAAATAAGACTGGTCTTCACTGCAGCACGCCTCGAGCGAGTAATGCGTCTGTAGGCCAATATAATAGAGCTTCTCTCGCGCGCTCCTCAGCTGGCGGTCCGCAGGGCCGCCCGGGCCGGGCGAGAAGCGCAAGCCCGCCAGCCACACCATGTGATTCACGATGATGAGCGTCTCGGCCTCGAGCAGCGTGTAGGAGCGAAGCTTGCCCTCGCACTCGCGTTGCTCGAGCCTGAGCCACTGCGCCTTGACCACGAGATAGCCCGCGGGGATGGTGTCGGTGTTGACAACCGTGTCCTCGGCCAGCGTGTACGCCTTCCCCTTGAGCACCGCCAGCCAGTAGAGCCCCTCGAGCGACTGCTCGCGCCGATCTGCGCGGCGACAGCGGCCTGGACAAGTCCGGCCAAGTCGGTTACGGGGAGGGCTACTACGAGGTCTTTGCGCGGGGGTGGTCGGGCGCCAGGCGCCCAGTCGATTGCCGCATAGTTCGTCGTAGTAGCCCTATCATAAACCTCTTATTCACACCTTGCACTTTGAAAAAAGAAATATCCGACCTTTGTCGAAGATCCGGAGGGTTTATCAGAGCATCACCCTGTAGGTAAGGTAAACTTCTCCACACACACGAGGTGGTGCGGGGCAAGGGGGGGCAACCCTCGCGTCTCCACGTCTAACGACAGGAGCCCCACGGCATTCAAAGTGCAAGGCCCGGTGCGCGTGGGTGAGCGGTGTGTGTGTGTGTGTGTGTGTGTGTGTGTGTGTGTGTGTGTGTGTGTGTGTGTGTGTGTGTGTGTCACGTCACTGCATCCTCTGCCGGTTCCTCCCGTCGCCTCTTCATGACTACTGTGTAGTACTGTTTGGTGGGACCGTCCACGAACGACCCGCACGAGCCCCGCCCGCCCTCGCGCGCGCCCTGACCCGCCCTTGTCGCGTCACGAATATGGCGTGGGGCCCTGACGATATTATCCATCCGATCTGGGACTGGCCGCCTCAAGGCTGCCGGGCGGCAGTACTCGCCTCGCAAGGCGCGCACCGGCTGCTCTGGCTGCTGCGCCGGCGGCCGCTGCGCTGGCCGCTGCTGCGCTGGCCGGCGAGCGGTACGACCGCCGGTGGCCGCTGCACCCGCGCCTTCCCTCGCGGGCGCCGTCGCGCCGCGCGCGCCCAACTCTGCTGGCACACGGCACGCGTCGTCACATAGCCGCGGAGAATAGGCGGTGCAGCGCGCGAAGCGCGCGCGATCTCGTACTTTTAAGGCTGGATCCGGCCATTCCAAGGGTACCCCCCTCCTCGACGTGACGGCCGCTCCCGGAGCCGGCCGGTGCGCGCCCGACCCACGCCCCCTCTCGCACCCCTCCGACCCCCCCTGCGCGGCGCACCCGTCCGCTGTGCGCCGGCTCGAGCGCCTATTGCCAAATCGCGACGTTTGAGCGCAGCGCAGGCATCCTCTGGGCGCCTGAGCGCGGCGGAATCTTGCCAGAATGTGGCCGCAGGAAGAGCCTCCGGCGGGCCTCCGGCGGACGCCTGGCGGCGTGGCGCTGCGCGCCGGCCTGCGGCCCAGGACCTATTTGACCGCTCGCTACCTATCGACCGCTCCGAATTCCTTGGTTGGCCCTCGCAGAAAGCGCGCCGCCCCGGCCAGTTCGTCACGCTGACGTACCCCGGGCTGGGCGGCGCGCTGCGCTCGTACACGATCGCCTCGTCGCCCGCCGAGTCGGCAGCCACCGGCGGCTTCCACCTGGCCATCAAGCGCAAGCCGGGCGGGCTGGTCTCGACGTGGCTGCACGAGCAGGCCGAGGCGAAGGCGCCCTTCGCCGTCCGCGTGCTCGGCGTTGACGGCGGGCCAATGGTGCTCGCGCCCGAGGAGCGCGCGGTGCTCATGATCAGCGCCGGGGTCGGCATCACGCCGATGCTTGCCCACCTGCGCGCCTTCCGCGATGCGTCTCCGCCGGCCGCCGGCGGCGGCGCGCCGCGGCCCCACTTAGCGTTGCTGCACTGCGACCGCTCCCTCGAGCAGGTCGTGGCGCTCGATGAGCTCCATGCGCTGCACGCGAGCGGCGTGCTCGCGTCGCTGGAGCTGGTCGAGACACGCGGCGAGCCCAACCGGCGCATAGCGCGCTCGCACCTAGCACGCGCGCTCGGCACGCGCTCGCCGACGGTGCTGCTGTGCGGCCCCGAGCAGTTTATGTACCCCATCAAGCGCACGCTCATCGACGACCTCGGCCTCGACCCGGGCCTCATCTGCTTCGACGACTTCACCTTCTGAGGCGGAGCCTCGGAAGAACATCGCCAAGCATGTGTGACAGAGAAGTGGCGGGGAAGGGGGACCGCACAGGGTTTACGTATTTACGGTCGCCTGACCTCAGAGTCCCAGAAGCTTGGAGCTTCAGGCCGCGAACGTGGCTAGGTGGACACTAAAGTGCCATCCCGTTCTGGAGCTGCACAACGGCTTGAACTCCAACCCTAACCCTAACCTTGACCCTAATCCTAACCCGAGCCCGAACCCGACCGAAGCGTCGCTCATCCTGATGTGTCGCCCTGTGCGCTAGCTGTGCTGTAAGCGGCGCTGAGATGCGTTGGGACTATACCGCGCTCAGAGGTCAAGGCAGCACACCACGCAATCGCAACCACCGACTCCACTGCAGCGAAACGCGGTGTCGCAGCCTCCGGCGTCGCAGCCGCCGCTCGGCTGGCCGGGCTCTCCCAGCCTCTCGGGCAACCTGTCGGATGACAGGACCAGGCGGGCGAGCGCCAGCTGAGCAGAGGAGAGGTTGTCGTCGCAGATCGCCACCGCCCGCGCGCGCCGATTCTTGTTCCGAACCTCCTTACCCGCAGCGACCAGGTTCCGCAGCTCGGTGTCTTCCACGAGGCGCTTCTCCTTCCAGAAGCCGTGGGTCGGCATGGCAGCGGCGCCGACAGCGGCGCCGGCCGAGGAGGCGCCACTGTACTGCTTCCGGCCGACGCTGCCTGACCACTTGCGCACGCTGTGCAGGATGCGGCTCCACTTGCGCACGCGGTTGTGCAGCAGGTCCATCTCTTGCAGCCAGTCCGGATCCCAGTCGGGATCCTTAGATGGGAAGTGGCGCGATACTGTGAGCCGCAGCTTCGCCTCTTTGATAATCCGCGCCGCCTCCGGCAGCGCGTCCTCCTGCTGTAGCGTCTGTGCCGGAGCGGACGCAGGTTGGAACGCTGTCGCGTTCACGTTGAGACCCGATCTTGAAAGCGCCGACACCGGCAAGTCTGCGGCTGCCATTCAACCTCTTTTTACGCGCCCGACCCACGCCCCCTCTCGCACCCCTCCGACCCCCCCTGCGCGGCGCACCCGTCCGCTGTGCGCCGGCTCGAGCGCCTATTGCCAAATCGCGACGTTTGAGCGCAGCGCACGCATCCTCTGGGCGCCTGAGCGCGGCGGAATCTTGCCAGAATGTGGCCGCAGGAAGAGCCTCCGGCGGGCCTCCGGCGGACGCCTGGCGGCGTGGCGCTGCGCGCCGGCCTGCGGCCCAAAGCCGAACGAGCGTCAAGTTAACTTGACGCGCCCAATCCCTTGGTTGGCCCTCGCAGCTGTGAACCGCATCGTCGGGTGCAGACCGAGAGCCGTCCGCTGCATCGGCACGCTCTTCCCCGCCGCGGCCTGCGTCGCCAGGAACTCGCGCAGCCGCAGGCGCACGACCCGAAGGTGCGCCGACAGTGCCGGCCCGTGGGGCGCTAGCATCGGCCGCCCATCGCCACGCGCAGCCTCGTCCTGCTGCTCGTCATCCTCCGCCTCGAGGGCGTCCGCCAGCGCGCTGCGCTGCACACCCCGGCGCACAGGAGGCGGCGCCGGCCGCACCTCGGCCGCCTCGGCGTCGCCCGCGGCACGGGCGCCATGCTCGCCGTCCACGCGGTCCATCGCCGCATCCCCATCCCCATCTGCGGCAGCGCCTCCTGCGCCCGTGCCGGCCTGCTCTGGGACGGCGCGCCACCGCTCGTCGTCCAGCATGTGCCACCACCGCCGATCCGAGTAGCCGTCGTACTCGACCTCGTGCACGATCCGTCCGTCCCGGTCCTCCTCCCGCGCCATTACGGTCGCAGGGTACCACCGCTCGCTGTCGCAGAAGATCTCGAGGCGCGATCCGGTGGACAGGACAGTGTGGCCGTCGAGCGCCGCCCTGGCATCCTCGCGCTTTCGCTTCCGCCGCTTCGCCTTCGTCTCCTTGCTGCGCAGCAGAGTGTAATTCGGGCCCACCTCCGCCACGCTGTCCAGCACGTGGACGGCGCTCGCCATCTCGACCGCGTCGTCCTCCGGCGGAAGCTCCGCGTCACCCGCGGCCGCTTCCCGAGCGCGCTCGTCGCGCATCCGCTCGTGGTGGGCCTGCCGACGCGCCACGCCGGCGCCCGTGTGCCTCGCCGCCGCGTCCGGCGACGGCATCAGTGCTGTCCGCCCGAGCGTGACTCGCCACTCCACGACCTCCACGACCTCCACGACCGCCGAAAAGCACGACCGCCCAAATCTCGAACACATCTCGAGTCCTCTCACATTGTACATACATACCTTCCCCCAGCGTCCCTCCCTCCTACTCACAACCTCAATATCTCGACTCTCCAACACGAAGTGCTGCGAACGGGGGTTGGCCCATTTGTTTTTCGTTTCTTTTTTTGGGCCCTGTGGGCACCCTAGCGAAAGAAAGCCTTTCCGCACGCACCACCTCAGTGCTCAGAATGATGCCGATGCATAAAGAAAGAAAAACAGAGAAACAAAATAAGTGACCCATTTCATGAGTGGCATCGAAAGTGAAGAACAGTCATAAATAAATAAATAAATAAAACGGGCACGCCAAACGAGGGGTGGGAGAAGGACAGCGGACAGGGTCCCCACCTGCACGAGCAGGATCTTGTAAGGACGATCAGGGACACAGGGGAACGGGAGCGGGGAGCGCATCGCGACACGGAGGGGGGCTGGGCAGGGTTCACCCACACGACAGGGTCCCAGGGATTCCTCTCTCGTATAGGACAGGTTGCACCCGGCGGCACGGGGGCAGGCGCGGGCCCTTAAGAACAGTCATTCTCGGACCGGACCTCCAAGTGGTTTACTTCTGTCGCCCAAACGCCGGGCGCAGCGCCACCGACAGCATGGGAAACCAGCTCGGCTCCGTCCAGCCCGACTACAACAACCTCCCAGAGCTGCAGCAGCTCGCCTTTGTCGAGCGGCTCGGCGGCGGCCGCTTCCTAAAGACGCTCAAGTATGCGATGAGCGTTGGCGGGAGCGGCGCGCCGGCGCAGCTGCTCGCCGTCAAGGTGTACTTCAAGCGCACCCCGAATGAGAAGCTGGCGCCGTACCTCGAGATGCTCACCGAGGTGCGCGCGCGCCTCTCCGCCGAGGCGGCGCCCAACGTGATGCCGTTCCGGTGGTTCCGCGAGACGACCCACGTCGCCTACCTGGCGCGCCAGTACCTGCACTCGACGCTGCTCGAGCGCGCGGCGACGCCTCCGTTCCTGAGCCACGACGAGAAGCTGTGGGTCGCCTTCCAGCTCCTCTCCGCCCTCTCGCAGTGCCACGCCGCCGGAGTCGTGCACGGAGACATCAAGGGCGAGAATGTGCTGCTCACCTCCGGCCACTGGGTGTTGCTCACCGACCTGGGCAACTTCAAGCCGGCGCTGCTGCCGGTCGACGACCCGGCGGACTTCTCCTTCTACTTTGACGGCGGAGGCACGCGCCGCTCGTGCTACCTGGCGCCGGAGCGCTTCGCCGAGGCACCGCTCGCGTCTCATCCCGCGGCCCAGGCTGGCGTGCTCTGCAGCGGGCGGGTCTGCGCTTCACACCCTTCCAGTGCTGTGAGGGTGTGAGCAGGCGGGGCTGCAGCCGGCGATGGACGTCTTCTCCGCCGGCTGCGTGCTGCTCGAGCTCCTGCTCGAGTGCGGCCCGGCCCTGCTCCTGCCAAGGCTGTGACTGAGTCGATGACGAGTTAACGATGAATAGGTGCGGCCCGGCCTTCGACCTGCCAAAGCTGCTGCGGTACCGAAAGGGCGAGAGGACGGCGCGAGAAGCACGCGCCGCCGCGAGCGGCGCCGCCTCACGCCTCGCCGGCTGTGAGCAGGCGAGGGCGCGGGCGAGCTGCGCGCGCTGCTGCAGCGCGTCTCTCCGCCGCCGCTCGCCGACACGCTCCTCCGGATGGTTGCTCTCTCGCCGGAGGAGCGGCCGACGGCGGCAGAGTGCCTCTCGAGTCTGCGCGGCTGTGTGCTGCCAGAGGCGTTCTACTCGTTCGCGCACGGCTTCTTCGGCCAGCTCCGCTTGCTTGACCACGAGAGGCAGGCCGCCGAGGTCTGCGACCAGTACGCGTCCCTCATCGCCCGCCTCGGGCCAAAGGGGACGCGGTGCGGAGAGGGCGAGGCCGGAGGAGACGACTCCGCCGAGCCGCCGCCCGCGCACGCGGACGGCGCTGCAGCCTACCTGCTTCGCGTCGAGGCGCGGCTGAGGGACGAGGCGGGCGAGCCGGCGGCCGGGGAGGGCGGCGGCGGCGGCGGCGGCGGCGGCGGCGCGGGCATTGGCGCGGCGGGTGCGGGCGCGGTGGCGGGAGCGGGGACGGGTGGCGGCGGCCACGCTCCCCTCGAGCCGGTGCTTGCTGCGGCATCGTCGCTGGTCATCGCCATCGCCCCCGCCACGGCTTGCGTGCGCAACGTGCGGTCGCCCTCGCTGCTGCTGCGGCTGCTGCGCACGCTGCTGCGGCTCGCCCTCTCGTGCGCCGACGCCGTGCGCACGCAGCGGGTGCGCGCCTTGCTCCGCCGCTCGCCCCTCCGCGGGTAGGGCCGCCCCTCCACCCGCCCCGCCCTGAGCAGGTGCTTCCCTACTTCGTCGTCTCCCTCTCGAACCCGCTGCCGTCTGTCCGCGCCGAGGCCCGCCAGACCGCGGAGCTGTCTCCTCGGCTGCACCTCGGCCGTGTCTCGGACAGACCTCGGCCGTGTCTCGGAGGCGCTCCACCTGATCGCGGAGCTCCTCGCGTCGGTCTCCACCCTCCAGCCGAGCGACACGCGCCTCATGCCCGACTATGTGCTGCCCGCCGTCTCGCGCTGCGCCACCGACCCCGAGCCGCTCGTGCGGTGCGCCCTCGCCGCGCGGCTGGGCCTGCTCGCAACCACGGCGCAGCGCACGCCTCTCCAGGGACGGCCGCGCGAGACGCCACCCTCCGTCACAGCGCCTCGCGCCCTCCCCCAGGCGCAACGCTTCCTCGAGACGGCGCAGCGATGCGCACAGTGGCGCTCTTAGCTCGTACTCACCACTCACTCACCGTCCCTGGGTCCCCGGCACCAGGCCCAGTGGATGCGCACCGTGTCGCTCTCGCGCGAGAGCGGCGCCCGCGGCACCGCCGATGGGTCCTGCCCCCGCCCGACTACGCTATGGTGGTCGAGCACTCGTCTCGTTGCCAACCACAGGCACCGCCGACGGGCTCGACGCCGCCGCCGCCACCACGCTCCGCTCCTTCGACACGGAGCTCGCGGCGCTGCACGAGCAGGCGAGACACCTGCTCCACAACCTCCCAGACACCTCCCAGACACTTCCTAGACACCTCCTCCACACCTCCCAGACCTAAACACCTCCCAGACACCTCCCAAACACCTCCTAGACACCTCCCAGACACCTCCTCCACACTTTGTAGACACCTCCCACACACCTCCTAGACACCTCCTGGACACCTCCAAGACACCTCCTAGACACCTCCTAGACACCTCCCAGACACCTCCTAGACACCTCCTGGACACCTCCTAGACACCTCCCACACACCTCCTAGACACCTCCTAGACACCTCCAAGACACCTCCCAGACACCTCCCAGACACCTCCCAGACACCTCCTCCACACTCTTTGTAGACACCTCCCACACACCTCCTAGACACCTCCTGGACACCTCCAAGACACCTCCCAGACACCTCCCAGACACCTCCCAGACACCTCCTCCACACTTTGTAGACACCTCCCAGACACCTCCTAGACACCTCCTAGACACCTCCTGGACACCTCCAAGACACCTCCTAGACACCTCCCAGACACCTCCCAGACACCTCCCAGACACCTCCCACACACCTCCCACACACCTCCTGGACACCTCCTAGACACCTCCCCCACACCTCCTAGACACCTCCTGGACACCTCCAAGACACCTCCTAGACACCTCCCAGACACCTCCCAGACACCTCCCACACACCTCCCACACACCTCCCACACACCTCCTAGACACCTCCTAGACACTTCCTAGACGAGCAGCTGAGCCACGTCCCCTTCTCGCCGCTCGCCTCGGCCTACCTCGGCCGCATCTCGGCCGCACCTCGGCCGCACCTCGGCCGCACCTCGGCCGTGCCCCGCAGGTGAGCCACGTGATCGTCGCGCTGCTGACGGACGCCGCGTCGACGCCGGCCGTCAAGCGACAGCTGCTCTTCGACACGACGCAGCTCGCCCTCTTCCTGCGCCGCCAAAACACAAACGACATGCTGCTGCCCCTCCTCATCACCCTCCTCAACGACCGCGAGCCCTCCCTGCGAGCCGCCTTCTTCGAGAGCGTCGGCGGCGTCTGCGCCTTCGTCGGCCGCGCCTCCCTCCAGGCCTTCGTCCTGCCGTGCGTGATGCAGGCCCTTTACTCTCTTCTCTTCTCCTCTCCTCTCCTCTCCTCTATTCTATAACAGTATGGTGATGCAGGCCCTCTCCGACGTCGACGAGATGGTCGTCTGCGCCGCGCTCGACTCGCTCAGCCGGCTCGCCGAGCGACGTCGCCTGGCCGCGCCCCACGGCACCGTGCCGCTCAGCGCGTCCGCGACGGGTGCCGCGTAGGCTGGCCGAGGTCGGCCTCCAGCCGCGCGCCTCGCTCCTCGAGGTGTGCGAGAAGGTCGCCCCGCTGCTCTGCCACCCGAACGCGTGGGTCCGCCACGGCGCGCTCGGATTCGTCTCGCGGCTCGAGCCGCACTTTTCGGCCGCAGAGGTGTACACCGCGGTCCGGCCGCTGCTGCGCCCTTTCCTCTCGCAGCCCCTCCTCTCGCTCTCCGCCCCGTCCCTCTCCGCCGCGCTGAGGGAGCCCGCCTCGCGACTCGGGTACGACCGCGCCCTCGCCAGCGCCGCCGAGGCCGCCGACCCGCCCGGCGGCGAGTCGCGCGAGCGGAGTGCGTCGTTCGGCGCGTACGCCGTCGGCGGCGTCGACTCGCCCCTCGGCGACGGCGCGGGCGGCGGCGCGCTGGGCGGCGGCGGCGGCCTCGCGGCGCACGACGCGGCGAGCGAGGCGATCGAGCAGCTTCTGCGCGAGGAGACGGCGGGTGCCGAGCTGGGCAGCGACCGCGAGCTCGGCGTGATTGCGGAGGCCCCGCCCGGCGACTCGACCGCCGACAGCCTCGTCGCCATGCCCGCCATCGCCGAGGAAGGGGGCGAGGCGCCGCCCGCGCCGCCGCACGCCGCCGCCACCTCCGCAGCGGCTGCCGGTGCGGCCGTACCGACCAGCGCTCCGTCCGCGCCTCTCGACCTGACGGCGCTGCCCGACTTGAGCGAGGAGGAGGCGGCGACGCTGCAGGCGACGCGCCGGCCGGGCGGCGACTCCTCGGCTGTGCACCTCGGCCATCTCTCGACGCCACCTCGGCTGCACCTCGGCGCGCGTGCCCTCTGCCGCAGGCGATGCGCGACTACATCCGCGCCGCGTCCGTCGTCAAGCTCGCAAAGGTGCGCATGTGGGAGACGGCCAACTCGGCGATGCTGCAGCTGGCCGGCGGAGGCGGGGGCGGGGAGCTGCGCGACTTCCGGAGCCTCTCGCGCCGCGTGCGCGTGCAGCGGCTCGCGGCCACGCCGCGCCCGGGGACGCGTCGACGACGGCCCGTCACACGTCCGTGATCTCTCCCGCAGGCTCGCGCCTCCTCCTTCCTCGCACGGCGACGGCGCGGCGGGCGGTGGCGCCTCCCCGCAGCCGCTCCCGCCGCCGGTGCCTCTCCTCCGCGACCACTTCCTCCACGACCACTTCCTAGACACTTCCTAGACCCTTCTAGACACTTCCTAGACACTTCCTAGGTGCCTCTCCTCCACGGCCACTTCGCCATCGGACCGGCGGGCGGCGCGGCGGCGGGCGGCGCGGCGGACGGCCGCCGCGCCGAGCCCGCACGCGCGCCCAGCCGCTGGACCAGCCGCCGACCCGCTGCGGCGCCGGCGGCGGGCAGGGAGGCGGGCGGCGGCGCGGCGGATGCGGGCTGGCCGCTCGGGTCGCGCGTACCTGGGGCGGCTCCGGGGTGGGCGCCGAAGGGCGCGCTGTTGGCGCAGGTGCGCGCGCACGCGGACGGGGTGCGCGGCCTCGCCCTCGCCGCCGACGGGCGGGGCCTCTTCACGCTCGGGCGGCGCGGCGTGGTGCGCGCGCCGCGGCGGTGCGGTGCGCGCCTCTCCCCACCGCCCCGGTGAGCGGCGCCTCCTTGCGCGCTAGGCGCTCAAGCTGTGGCCGACTGCGGCGCCGCGATGCAGCCGAGAAGTAGCCAAGATGTAGCCGACGTGTAGCCGACGTGTAGCCGACGTGTAGGCTCACACTGTGGCCGATTGTTGCCCTGGAGCGAGGCAAGGACCACACCGCCCATGGAATGCGCCGATGACATGTCCTCGACGTGCCCCACAGGCGCTGGAGCGAGAGCGGGACCACGCCGCCGCCGCGGCGAGCCACCCGCTGCCGCGGCAGGCCGAGGCGCGCGGCATGGCGGTGTGCGCGGGCGGGCGCGACGTCGCGCTCGCCACGGCCGGCGCCGAGGGCGGCGGCGAGTCGATTGCGGTCCTCACCACCGAGCGGCTCGGCGGGCGCAGCGCGACGGCGTTCCGGCACGCGCCCCCTCCCGAGGCGGGGGCCTTGCTCGCCCTCGGCACGCTGGACGGCGGAGGCGGTGGTGGAGGCGGCGGGGCCAGTGGCGGCGGAGGGGGTGGCGGAGGCGGCGGCCTCGTCGTGTACTCGTGTGAGGATGGGAGCGTGCGCGCCGTCGACCCGCGCACGGGCGGCGAGGCGTGGGTTTTGCGGCGCGGGCAGCGGGGCCGGGGCTGCTGCCGGTGGTCGCCTGCCCGACCTCTCGCAAGCTTCCTCTAGGCACGAGCAGCGGCTCGGGCTGCTGCAGTCGTGGGTGGCGGGCGGCGGAGGCGCGTGGCTCGCCGCCGGCTCCTCGACCGGGCACGCCCGCGGTGCGGGGGCGCGTGCTGCGCGGTGGGCCTGACCCTGGCCCTCCTCGGACCCTTCCCGCAGGCACGTTGCGCTGTGGGACGTGCGCTACTCGCTCCGCCTCTCGAGCTGGCGCGAGCCGGCGCGCGGTCGCATCCTCTCCATGGCGTACGCCTCGCAGCCCGCAGCACCCGCTGGCTCTGCCGCGGCGGGGCCGCTGCTCCTCCTAGGCGGCGCCTCTGGCGCACACGGCGGAGCGTCCAGTCGGCTCCTCTGACGCGGCGGCCCTTCACGGCCAGCGCGCTGTGAACATAGGCCTCACGAGCGGGTGGGTGCTCGGCGAGGCCATCCCGCGCCCCGCCCTCGTGCTGCAGCCGGCAGGGATCCCGGACGCCGCCGCCGACGCCGCCGCCGCCCCGCCGCTCGACGCATCGAGCGCGGACGCGGCCGGCCCGCCAGCGCCAACCGACGGCTCGCGCGGCGTGCGCGCGCTTCTCTCGTCGTGCGACGGCTCCTCCATGCTCACCGCTTCGACCGACATGGTGCTTCGGTCGCAGGGGCTTCGCCTCTTCGGAACCGCCCCATCGACCCTCTCGGAGCCGGCCTCTAGGCGGTCCGCTGCTGGAGGCCGCGGCTGCCGGCGGGCGGCCACAACTGCATCACCCTCGGCGGCGGCGCGGACGGCGCGGCGCAGCCGTCCGCGTCCGCGCGCGTGTTGCCCTCGGGCGCGCTCGTGCTCGCGGAGGCGGCGTCGCCTGACGGCGCGGGAGGTGTGCGCGTGGGAGCGGCGCTCCGCACGGGACAGCCACGCGAGCAATGTGGCTCCTGTAGGCGGCGGCGCGAGCGAGGCGGACGGCGGCGGAACGGCGACGCCGCTCCCCAGCTCGCACACCCCGGCGGGGGAGGCCGGCCCGCTCGGCGGTGGCAGCGGCGAGTGCCACGCGGCAATCACCGCTCTGGTCTACTGCGCGACGCAGCAGCCCGGGCTGCTGATTGCCGGATCACTCGACGGGATTGTGCACGTCTGGCGCTGAGCCCCGGTCTGGGTTATTGTTTGTGTTTTTACGAAGTCGCAAGTACACAAGTAACAGTGGTAACCGTCAATAGAATAGTTACGCAACGAAAACAGAGAGGATACTGGATAGAGAGATCACAAGAGACACACAAAACGAGAACGACTTCCCCCCCAACAAACACGCAAGAGAGAGCACACAAAGCCGTTGAGTGTTCGCCCCCCCCCCCTCCCCCGGGCTCCCTCCCGCTCCCCTCCCCGCAGAGCCCGGCCTGCCATGCAGCTCCTGCCTCCCGCTTCCCCCGCGCTCCGCTTGGCCCTCGCAGACACTCGCTCCCCCGCAGCGCGCTTGCGCTGACGCGCCTGGCATCACATTCGCGCCGGGACCGCACGCGTGGCGAATGCTGTTATTTTACGTGGGCCGAGCGGAGCGCCGCTTCGCAGGGTGCTCTTCCTCCTCCTCGTCCTCCTGCTGCTCGAGGTCGGAGTAGATGCACGCATCGTCGACGTGGCCGGCGAACAGCTGCTCGATGGGCAGGTCATCGAGAGGCACGCGAGCGAAGATCATGTCGCGCCGCTGCTCCACTCGCTCCTTGATCTTCTTCGTCTCCATAGTTGCGCGCCCCCCCTGCTCGACCTCGTCCATCATTTTTTGCTGGGAGCGTGTGCGGGGAGGAATGGTTCAGGTGCAGCCACAAGCGTAGCAGATGGGGAGGGAGGGGGGGGGTGGAGGGGGAGGCGGCGGGTACTGCAGCATGGGCAGCGGCTCACATCGAAATCCAAGACGGTGTCCAGCAGAAAGTCGAACTGGTTGTCCCAGTAGTGGATGGCTGAGCAGAGGTCCCAGTAGCGTAGTGAAGACCTGTGGTTCAGCGAACGAATGGGCGAGTCACCCTCCCATACAAGTGTGGACGCTGGGGATAGCAGGCGCGGGTCGGCCGCCTCTTCTCTCTCTTGGCGTTCTTGTACGAGAGCCGCGTCAAGGAGCGGATAAACATCTCGCCCAGTCCCGCAATGCCGGCCGGTACATCCGCACCGATCAGCTGCGCGCGCAACGGATGAGGGGGATCAGCAGCTGAGGTAGGGTGCTCAGCAGTGGAGGTGAGGGTGCATCGTGTGCTGGATCTGAGGGAGGGGAGTGAGAGGATCGGCAGTCACCAGTGGTTCGTCGGAGGTGGAGGTGACGTCCACTGAGCTTTTGCAGACCTTCTTGACCATGGCTGGACGTAACTCGACACCATGAGGAGGTACCTGCCGCATCTTGTCGACGAAGTCACGCTTCTGCAACGAGGGGAGGGGAGGGAGTGGCGCACGCATTCAGAGACGAGTAGGAGGATGGCTGGCAGCGCGCCTCCTTCTTTTTCTCTTCGCTCCGAGGTCGCAGATGCGCCGGAAAGCTCAGCTCGAGGTAGTGCTCGACGCCGAGGTAGTCCTCGAGGGCAGCTGCATCGGGCTCGCCACTTTCGCTGCCCTGCAGGTCGAGGCTGTCGATCTCGAGCAGCAGCTCCCGCGACCCCGACGGCCCCATATCAAAGGGCAGAGACGCTGGATCATTGAGAAGATGCGCGATGCAATCACTTGCGGCGTCGGCCTCAGCCGCGCCTGGGATAGCGGCAGCAAGCATCGAGACTCCAAGCGATGGCACGGTGGGAACCACAGGTACAGGTGATGGACGCGGATTGGAGACGGGGGAGGACTTATTAGGGAGGATGCCACCACTACGGAATGCCGCCACTACCTTGGTACCTGCCAGACGAGGGCGCCCGCCGATGGCAATTCAAGTTCCGCCCTACCCCCCCCCACCACGTGGAGATCGCACCAGATTCTTCTCTCTCATCCGTCGGATGAAACCAATTGATCGCGCAAACGGGCAGCCGCCCCGCAGTTCGTCGTTCTCGTGGAGGAGCACGATGCGCAGCCCTGCCTTGTTTGCGGCAGCCACCTCCCGTGCGAGCGAGGCGCCGCTCTCGCCAAGCCACGTCTCGCCGTTGAGGTAGAGCACCATGAAGTCGGGGGGGCGCACGATTCGTTGCGCGTCCGCCGAGCCGTCGTCGTCGTCGTCCCCGCCATCGCGGACGAGCAAAGGCGCCATCCGCAGCCGAGGCCTCTCGCTGGCTTCAAAGGCGGCGATGAGCTCCTTGGCCATGCGTTCCGCGCCGGGGTTGTGCGGCGAGGCGTAGAGCTCGGGCGGCCGGCCAAAGTAGCCAATCTCTTCAAATGCGACGTCCGAGGCGAGGCAGAGCTCGAGGCGTGGCTTGGATAGCAATGCGCGCGGCGAGGGCTGGCCCTCGGAAGCCCCGGGCGCAGCAGCCTCCTCGACGGCCGCGGTCCGCCCGTCCGGTCGCCGCTTGCAGTACCGCGCGTAGCTGGGGCTGACGCCGAGCATCTCGCTCGCGATGAGGCATAGCGAGCGCATCTGGAACTCCCGGACCCGGTGCCATCGGTACGGCAGCCTCGGCTGGCCGTCGGAGTGCTTGAAGAGGTAGTCGCGGTATTTTTCGGGGCACTCGAGCATGGCTTGCTCGAGCGTCAGGCCGCCCTTGGCCTCGTCCGCCTCGAGGACGAGGATCACCGGCTTGCGCTGTGAGGTTATCGCCTCCACCTCACGAAGGCAGTTGCGCGAGGCAAAGTACCCCCGGCTCAGGAAGACGACGACCGCCATCGACTCCTCGACGTGCTCCTCGAGTGCGCCAATGTCGCGCAGATCGTCGACGTCCAGGAATACCTTGATGCCGGGCAGGTGTAGCTGAAGCTGCCGCTTGATGGCGGCGCACTGGTCCTGCCCGGTGTTCCACGTGTGCGAGAGGAACAGGTGAAAGCGCTGTCCGCCGTGCATCGACAGCTCGGGCGGCCGCCGCGTCTCGCACAACAGGAAGACGGAGGCGCTCGTCGCCGCGAGAGCATCGCGGATCGTGACACCGAGCGCGAGGGTGGCGAGCACGGCGACGACGACCACCATCGCGGTCGCAACGGCATCAGGCGAGGCGAACGTCATCACCCAAACCACGACGCCGCGCTCGACAGGCAGCGCCTCGAAGCGCTCAAAGACGTAGATGTACGAGTAGCCGAGGAATAGGACACATATCGCGGTCTGGACAGCGGCGGCGAGCGCCTCGACCTGCTTGTTGCGATAGGGTCGCAAGAGCACTTGCATGAAGAGTGCCGCCAGCGCAAAGAGCAGCCCGATGACGAGCCGGAGAAAGGCGAACTCCTCGGGCACGAGGAGCAGGCCGCCTCCGAGCGCTAGCCGGCGGAAGAGGTCCATCCACGCCCACCAAATGTCGGGCGGCTCGAAGTCCTCCCATGCGACGCGGGAGGCGGTCGAGATGTGGCTCGGCGTGTGCTTAAGCACAGCAGGCCGCACCTTGTACAGGATCAGCGCGAGGATGGCGAGAGGCACCGCCGCCCAGACGATCAGGATGACGACGGCTGCGATACGAAGCGTCTCCCACTCACCCGAGCTGCAGAGGACGCCCGGGCTGTCCCAGAGAAAGGAGCGGTACTCGAGCGGGCTCGAGTCGGCGACAACACGCCGGCAGTGAAAGGCGCCAAAGGCGGCAGACGAAACGGTTGGGCTGAACAGGGTGACAATGCCGAGACACCACGGAGCGGCGTCCCTGAGCGTCATGAGGGCGGCCCGACCCTCGGCGTCGGCGTGTCGGCGAGCACGGTAGCAGCGGCGTGCCAGGCGGACGGCGACGGCAACGAGCATGAGCGCCACCGGGAAGGTGGCGGTCACCAGCATGTAGGTCATGTAGCCTCCAAGGCAGGCGTGTGGAATGAAGGCCGGCCCCCACAGGTCAAGCCGCAGCACGCGCAGCGAGAGCAGCAATGGGCGGAGCACGTCCGGGATCGAGATCGAGAAGTCGGACGCAGCGGCGCCAATCTGCGCAAAGCCAACCGCCAGCCGCACCTTTGCAGGTAGCGCCGACCGCTTGGAGAAGACACGCAATCTCTTGATTGTCCGCACTACTGCAGCCGGCGCGCCACGCCGCTCCACGCGCCGCAAGCACACGACGACGGCGAGGGGCGTCAACAAGACAAAGGCAATCAGCGTGTAGCTCGCTGCGAAGTCGCATTCCTCGCATCGGCCTGCACCCTTGTCAAAGTACTGCCCCTCGCCTGCGCACACCCCACAGCGATAGCCCGAGTGACCGCCGCGGCAGTAACCGTCCCCGTCGTTTCCCGCATCAGCGCCGCCGACGCAGGCGCCGGTCGAGCCCGCAGTCGCACACCGCTCGATGGCACGCGACTGGTTGGTGAGGCGCCAGGTGCCCTCGTCGAGCACGAGCGTCGAGAGCGTGGTGTGGTTGAGTGGGCAGGCCGCGAGGAGAGGGCACGGTTTGCACGTGGCAGTGCTCGCCGCCACCTCGTCGTAACGGAAGGTGTCGCGGTCGCACTCGTCGCACGAGGCGAAGGGCGCGGCGGAAGTCGTCTGTGGGTCGCACAGCTCGCACTGCGCCTGGCCCGCCAGCGCCTGGAACTCTCCGTGCGCGCAGGTCCGGCAGACGGTGCCGCCCGTGTCGGGCTCGTAGGACCCGGCCGGACAGGGCTCACACAGCGCGTTGCCCCGGTCCGGTTTGACGTGCCCCTCCTCGCAAGGCGTGCACGTGAGATCCGCAGGTCCGGCAGAGGGGTCCTGCGGCTCTTGACCCGCTGGGCACACGCAAAACCCTTCATCGTCCTGCACCAGACCCGACCGGCAATCAACCACGACCAGCAGCGGGCCCGTGGCAGGGGTGGCGTCGGCATTGCCGAGCGCGAGGACAAGGGAAAAGTTGCCCACTCTTGCGGGCTGCACACGGACGTCGTAGCGGCCGGGGGTGGTTGGCACAACCATTGGAGCGTCTTGCGAACTCAGGCGACGCCCCGGGGGAGGCGCGAGGCCGCCGTATACAACCGCGGCAGAAAAGCTGCGGTCATCGGACAGCTCTGTGCGATCCGTCGGGACGGTGTGATGCACAGGCAGCCCATCCACGTCGCACGCTGTGAAGGGGACGACGAGAGTGTCGCCGGCGTCCACCTTTGCGGTGAGATTAGCGTCCGCATCCCATCTGGTGCTCGACGCGACAGTCATTGCCAAGATGCGAGCGCGGAATAGCACGGAGACGTTGCTGCAGCCCGCTGTGTCGTCAGCCTCCACCTCCAAAGCAACCGTGGCGCCTTCGGTAGCGCCGCTCAGCGTCTCGGGAAGGCCAGAGGCGGAGAGCTCCACCGGCAAGCCGTTGCTCGCGTCGCCCTCCTCCTTGGGCAGCCAGACCAGCGACGCGTTCATCTCGCCGTACTGCGCGGCGCGCCACGAGCGATACTCGCTCGTTGTCGACTGGACGATGTCCAAGGAAAAATTCTTGCTCGCCGAGGCGTTCTCCATCTTGGTCAGCGTCACGTCGACGCCCTTGGAGCAGATGCAGTGCGTCGCCTCCCGCCTCTGCGGGTCAAGCGAAAGCACCTCGACCTGATCGTCCTGCACCTCGAGCGGAACCTTGATGGCCCGGAAGAGGCCCGATGCCAGATCGCACTCACAGCCCAGCCCCCCGCCTTCGAGCGGAACTGTGCGGCAGCCCCTGGTCGACCACTCGGCACTGCCCTCGTCCCACTTGTTGCAGGTCAGTGCGCCGGATGGTCGAGGCAGCCCTTGCCTCATACCCTCAAATATATCGCGGCTGGACGGTTGGCCGATTTGGGCGCCCGCCGTAGTCTCGCCGAGTCGTCGCCCGTACGTTGCGGTCCGTTCGTCGTCGTTGTATGGCAGTCTGATTAGCGTAGTCATGTTCGTCGCTTCGCTCAGTCGTCGCCCCTCCCTGCTGACTGAGACGGAGAAGGAGACCGTTTTCCCTGCAAAGGAAGAGGACGCGTTCACGCTGCCGCCGACCACCTCGGCAGTCGTCGTGTATGCTGAAATTGTCACGATGAGGCCGGCGTCGAGTCCCTCGATCTGCAGAGCCGTGTCCGCCAAAGCGCCCCCGCCACCAAAGCTCACGGGCTCGCCTGGCTGCGGCTCGACCGACTGCACAGAGACATTGAGCGAGCCGGTCGTGATCTCCACCGAGGTTGCGTTGTCTCCGCCAGCGGCGAGCGAGGCGGCGAGGGCGACGGCCGCACCGACCACGCTGCTAATGGCGTGCTGGAGCACTTGCCCGGCCTCTACCCTGGAGCTGTCCGTCGGCTGCCCCTCCTCCGGTTTGAGGAGCCCGCTCATTTCGGACAGCACGTCGCTCACTCCGTTCATGATCTCCTCCAGCTCGGACAAGCTGACGTTTGTTCGGTTGCTGAGGTCGCTGAGGCCGTCGACGGCGTCCAGAGCGCCTTGGACCACCTGCGTGAGTGGCGGCGGCGACGGAGGCGGCGGCGACGGCGGGGGCGGCAGTGGCGGTGGCGACGGCGGCGGCGGCGAGGGTGCGGGGGATGGAGGCGGTTTTGGGGGCGGCGGAGGAAGGGCTGGATCACCCAACGGCACCTGGGGCGGATAGCTGGGCGGCGGTGGTGAGGGGGGCGCGGACGGGGGCGGAGGCGAAGGCGGCAATGGTGAGGGCGGTGGTGTGGGCGGAGGCGGCGAGGGTGGCGGCGGCGACGGGGGCGGCGAGGGCGGCGGTGGCGAGGGCGGCGGTGGCGAGGGCGGCGGTGGCGAGGGCGGCGGTGGCGACGGTGGTGGAGGTGAGGGCGGCGGCGGCGATGGAGGCGGTGGGCTGGGCGGCGGCGGTGAGGGCGGCGGCGGCGATGGAGGCGGCGGGCTGGGTGGCGGCGGCGAGGGCGGTGGCGGGCTGGGTGTTGGTGCGGACGGGGGCGGGGGAGACGGAGGGGGCGGAGAGGGAGGTGGCGGCGACGGCGGCGGCGGCGACGGCGGCGGCGGGCTTGGCGGCGGCGGGCTGGGCAGTGGAGGGCTCGGAGGCGGAGGCGAGGGCGGCGGTGGCGAGGGAGGAGGCGGCGAGGGCGGCGGTGGCGAGGGAGGAGGCGGCGACGGCGGCGGCGGCGACGGCGGCGGCGGGCTTGGCGGCGGCGGGCTGGGCAGTGGAGGGCTCGGAGGCGGAGGCGAGGGCGGCGGTGGCGAGGGAGGTGGCGGCGACGGCGGCGGCGGCGACGGCGGCGGCGGGCTTGGCGGCGGCGGGCTGGGCAGTGGAGGGCTCGGAGGCGGAGGCGAGGGCGGCGGTGGCGAGGGAGGTGGCGGCGACGGCGGCGGCGGCGACGGCGGCGGCGGGCTTGGCGGCGGCGGGCTGGGCAGTGGAGGGCTCGGAGGCGGAGGCGAGGGCGGCGGTGGCGAGGGAGGTGGCGGCGACGGCGGCGGTGGCGAGGGCGGCGGCGGCGACGGTGGGGGCGGCGAGGGCGGCGGTGGCGAGGGCGGTGGTGGCGAGGGCGGTGGTGGCGAGGGAGGTGGCGGTGAGGGAGGCCTCGGCGGGGGCCTCGGGAACGGACAGGCGCAAGCAAGGGAAGAGGTCCAGTTGCCATTGTTACACCAGATCGAGCCGCTCTGCGTGCACGAAGGCATGCACGTCGCATCACACGTCATCCCATCGCCCAAGCCGCTGCATCCAGCATACGAGGATGCGTCGACCGATCCGGCCTGCCCCCCCAAGGCGGTCGCAATGTCGCCGTGACAGGCAGCACCAGTGCTGGCCACAGAAATTGGCAGGGAGAAGTATGCTGGAGCGGATGCCTTGCAAGGGTGCCCGGTCCACGAGGCATCGGTGTTGTGGCAAGGATCTGATATATAGTCCGCGTCGGCGACCTTCACGATGAAGTTGCCAGTACTAACGCCCGTCACTTCGGCGGTGAATGCGCGCCGCACCTGGTTGTAACTGTATTCGTACGCTGGGCTGGCGTTCCCGTCGCCGGGCCATGGGTGCCGCGGATCGATCGTCTCCAGCGTATTGTACGCGCTCACCAGGCTGGTGCCATCGCCTGTTTGGAAACCCCCGGTCGCCTCCGGTCTGGCGTAGCACTTGACTGCTGCATTGGACGGGACCGAGCAATCCAGCGCACTCTTGATACCGTCTTGAATGCTGTTGGGGTAATCGACGGTCGGCGAGCAGGCATCATTAAAGGGCACGACTAGCGGGTCGCTATCGGACGTGCTTCGATAGACATAGAGCGAGCCGCTGGAGGCAGTTTCGGAGTGGTAAGTGGTGAGATATACAGTGGCTTTTCCAGGCTCGCTCTCTGAGGTGCTGGTGCAGACTGCATTGAGATGCGCGTCGGCTGGCACTGAGCACAGCAGCAGCAGCAAGGCAATCGGCGAAAGCCGCTCGACCCATTGCGCCCGCACCCCTGTCCTGCACCGTATGCTTCTGTGGCAGGCTACAAGCCACGATGCTAATAGCGCAAGGAGCATCTGTAGCAGCGGCAGCGGTGGTGACGGCAGTGGCGTCCAGCTGCAGGTGCACGGCAAGGAGCCGCAGCTGGTGGTTGCCCGAGGACGAGGACACTGCGGCGCCGATGCGAACGGCAGCAGCATGGCGAGCGCGCTGAATCCCCGGCACAAGAGACGCGCCCGCCGGGCGACCGCCGCTTTTCGATTCCTTGGCTCGTGGCGCTCGCTTTCTTCCGCGCAGGGTGGTATTTCTAACGGCTGTGAATACAGTAGTAGCATGCACATGCACATGTCTACTCATTTTTATTGTTTTTTAGCTTTTCCGTTTTCGGCGGCACGGCGCGGGGCCTACCTAGCGCGGGGGCCGGGCACCGGGGCGCCCCGTGTTGACTGTTCTCTGTTGTGCGCCTGCGCGCTGGGCCTTCCTCGTTCCTGCTTCCATACCAGTAGGCCATGTGGACGTTTCACATGCGCTCACGAGGATTTCGCCAGCACGCGCAGCAGCACACATTGCTCATTGCACATTGGTAGCGGAACCAACAAAACGTCCCGACGAGCAGGCAGCAGGGTGCCACTTGAGACTTGTACAGAGGTTTTAAGACACTGTGCAAGTTTCACACACCTTTGCACGCTATTAGGATGTGGCGGCCTGATCGAGAGAGCTGTACTGACCTGCCGCGGCGCTTCTCAGGCCACGGCGGCGCGCCCTCCGTCCACGCCAATCACCTGCCCCGTGACCCACCCCGCCTCGTCGCTGAGCAGAAAGCTCGCGAGCGCGGCCGAATCGTCTGCCTCGCCGACTCTGCCGAGCGGGTGGGACTTGGCGAGGGTGTTGCGCATGCTTTCCTTCCCCAGCATCGGCGCCGCCATCGCCGAGTGCGAGATCGAGGGCGCTATAGCGTTGACCCTAACGGAGGGAGCAAATTCGGCAGCAAGCGCGCGAGTCATCCCTTCGATGGCGCCTTTGGCGCTCGAGATGATGGCGTGGTTGGTGAAGCCCTGCTGCACGGCCACGCTGGAAAAGAGAACGACAGAGCCACCATTCTTTTTCAGCGGGGCCTCGACGCTCCTCAGCGCGGCAGCCGCGCCAACCACGTGCAACTCAAAGCATGCCCTGAAGTCGGCTGGCTCGGCGCGCTTGAACGGCTTGAGAGCGATGTCGCCAGCGCAGTAGGCGAAGCCTTTGAGGTCAGCCGGCAGGTCGGGCGCAAGTGCGTCGCCCATTTGCTCGGCCTGGCGAGCGTCGGCGACAGTAAACGGAGCACCATTGAGCGTCTGCGAGAGCGATTGCAGCGCGTCGGCATTCCGCCCAATGAGCCACGGCGTGCCACCGCGGGCGAGGACGCGACGTGCTATCGAGCTCCCGATGGCACCGGTGGCGCCGACGATTGCAACCGACATGTCGGGAGTGGCGGCCACGAGGGAAGTGGTGTCCTGGCCGCCCTCTTACCGCCCTGTGAGCGGGGCCCGGGGTTGTGCGTTTATGAGCCAGCCACTTCGAGGACAGGCTGTCCTGGAAAGTTCTGAGCCTAAAAGAATTCTTAAAGCGCTCTCTCACAGCACACTGGCGCGTCCTTGCGCGAGGAGAGCTCGATAGACTCGAGGGGCCAGGATATGCAGCGAGGAGGGCGGAGCTGCGCCGAAAGGCGAAAGAAGCCGCGAGAACAAGGGACCGGCAGGCGGCGGCGGCGTCGCAGAACGAGACAGAGGAGAGCGACGCGACAGAGGAAGAAGCGACAAGGGAGAGCACGACGAGAAGGGGGCGACCGCGAGGTGGCACGAAGGTCGCAGCGAGAATCGGAGAGAGACTGCGAAGAGAGATAGGAAGAGGCGGACGCCCAAGGGTGGGCGACGGCTAGTGCACCACACCCCTCTCCTTAAAATCCCTGTGTGGTGGCGGCGTGCCGTCCTCCCATCCCTCCCTTGGGTTGTCCGTTTTCTTTCTTTCTTTTACTGGCACGACAAGGGCGCGGACTGGCGCGGAGCCTGAAAGAATTTCAGCAGAAAACCATTAATATTAACCTTTTTGTTTTTTGTTAACCGCGACCCCACAAGAAAACCACACCTCCCTCGGCTACTCCACCTACCCCTCCTACTGACGTACGCATTCGGCCGTCGAGCGTCGTTCACACACGCGATGAGTGCCGATGAGATGCGCGAGAGGCGTCACGTCGACGCGCGAGGCGTCACAAGAAGAGCGGCGCCTCCGGCCCTCTCTGGATCTCTGCGTGCGGGATGTGCGCGACGAGCTCGACCGCCTCGCGGCTCGCGCGCGAGAGGCCCTCGAGCAGCGACGCGTACTCGCGGCAGCCCCAAAAGTGGTCGGGCGGCGGCGGCGGCTGGCCGGCGCCGTGGCGGTCGGCGAAGCGCGCCACGAACTTGAGGACGAGCCCCTGCAGCTGCGTGTCCCGCCGCAGGCGGAAGAGGTTGGCGCCTTTCGTGGCGGAGCAGGAGAGGAAGAGGGCGGAGCTGCACGCTTCGCCCAAGCAGAGCATGTGCAGGTAGAGCTGAGGCACGTGCCACACCGCCACGCCGTCGAACGGGCCCGGGTCCCGCACCTCGAAGCAGGGCTGCGGCGCGCGGCACGTCGCAAACGGCGCGTGGTTCTTGGCCTCGAAGGGCTCGACGGAGCCGTCGGGCCAGCGCACGATTGCGTCCGGGCTCGCTCCGATGGGAGGGAGGCCGGGCGGCAGGGCCGCCAGCACGCTCTCGGGCAGCGCCTCGAGCGGCTGCAGCCCCGCCTCCTCCACGGTGGCGTTGCGCGCCCAGAGGTAGTTTGCCGCGGCGAGAACGGACGTCGCCTCCTGCGCATTGCCCCACGCCATCCGGACCTGGCCGACGGTACGGTACGGCGTCCCGCCCTCCGCCCGCCGCGACCGCCGAGGCACGTACTCGCGCTGGAAGGGCACCGCCCCCGCCGACGAGGCGGGCCGCGAGCGCCACACCGCCCCGTGGCCGTCGTCGGCGTCGGCGGACGCGGAGTCTACCTTCCCCGCCGCGTCCCGGAGGAGCGCGTAGTCGGCGAGGAGCGGCGCCTGGAGGCGCGCGTGCGCGTCGAGCGCCTTGCCGTGCCCGCGGAGCGAGGGCGGGACGCCGAGCTCCTTCGCCGACCGCTCCTCGTACACCCCGAGGCAGGCGGCGCACGCGCTCGTGCTGATGCGGCCGGCGTGGCACGCCCACCACTGGTCCGAGTCCTGCCGGTACAGGCGCAGGTCGGACGCCGTGGCGGGAAGCACGCGGTGCGCGGGCGGCAGCGCGACAAACGCCGGGTGGGCGCGCAGCTCGGCCATGCTCACGGCGCGCCACCAGACGTCTGGCGCCGAGCCGCGCTCGGGCCGCCGCGGCCGCCGCGGCCGCGCAGTTCTGGCAGCTTTCGGGTCCGCTGCTGCGCGAGTCGCCGCCGCCGCTGGTGGCTGCCGTCGACCTCTGCCGGCGCCTTCGCCGATCGCAACTCGCTGGTCACTGTCACTAGCCCGGTCCGTTGCTGTGCTAGTCGCCGCCGGCACAGTCGCAGCCACTGCAGACTGCGCCTCGCTGCCGCTTGCTGCCTTGCCATCGGCTCTGTCGCGGAGCTTCTTCAAGCGCTGCTGCACGCGTCGCCTCCTGTCGCGGTTGGCTGGGCCCGCGAGCGTCGCGAGCCGCGCCTCGAGCTGCTCCACCGTGAGCGGCGCGTTGAGAGGCACGTTGGACGCTCGTACGTCGGACACTCGCAGGCCGTGCGGAGTGAAAGCGGGCGCGTCGAGACGGAAGGAGTACGAGGTGGCAGCAGCAGCGGCGAGTGCGGCGCACATGCACCGTGGCTCCAGCTGTCGGGTACGTCGTGGAGTCGAGTGGGGAGTCAGCACTGCCAGGAAAAGTCGAACGAGGTAAATTGTCTTTCTTTCGCGCATCGAACCGACGGCCGAGCCGGGCGGCTGAAGACAAGCGCACTCTCACCCGGTCGCGAGATGTTCTCCAGCAAGCCCAAGTATTCAGCCGACAAGACCAAGGTGCACCTCAAGATGCTCTGCAACCGCTTCCAGCTCCTCACACAGAAGAAGGCGAACCTCGCAAAGCAGCAGAAGCGGCAGGTCGCCACGCTGCTCCGCGACGACAAGGAGCAAAACGCACGCATCCTCGTGGAGCACATCATCCGCGAGGCGCGCCCGCCCCGCCCAGTCTGCCGCCCACCGCCCTGCGGCTGACGCGGCGCGGGAAAACGCCGGCCGTCAGGACTACACCCTCGAGTCGTACGGCATCCTCCGTCAGTACGCCGAGATGCTGCTCGCCCGCCTCGAGGTGGTCAACTCGGAGGACCACCTCAAGCCGGAGATTGCCGAGGCGGTGTGCGCGCTGCTGTACGCGGGCTGGCTGTACGGCTCCGAGATCCCGGAGCTCAAGGTGCTGCACGCGCAGTTCACGGCAAAGTACGGCAAGGAGTATGCGCAGGAGGTCATCGAGAACAAGGAGAAGTACCTCAACCACCGCCTCGTCCGCATGCTCACCTCGACGCAGGCGCGGCGCCCCTCTCCGCCCGCCACCCCTCCCTCCCTCTCCCCTGCGCGACCCCTCCGTGTGACGATGCCCGTGTGAGCCGGCCCGGACTGCTCCTGCAGGTGCCGGACCCCTCTGTCGTCGAGCTCTACCTCACGGAGATCGCAAAGGCGTACGGCGTCGACTTCACGCCGAAGCCGCCGCCCGGCGCGTTCGGCGCCGCGCCCGACCCCATCTCGTCCACAATCGGCATCGCCCTCCCGCTGCCGGGCATGCCAGTCAACTCGGCCGAGCCGGTGGCGCCGCAGCCCGCGCCGGCCGCGCCTGCGCGGCCCGCCGCCGGCGTCGCGCTGCCGGTCGCGTCTGCGTCGTGCGCGCTGGCGCAGGGCACGAGCAGCGGCGGCGCGGTGCCCTTCACCGTCACGCTGACCAAGGGGATTGCCGGCTTCGGCACGCGCCTCACCCCCCCCGACGAGCCGGCTGCACCGCCTGCCTGGCCCATCCCCTCTGACTCTGCACCGCCTGCCCGGCCCATCCCCTCTGACTCTGCACCGCCTGCCTGGCCCATCCCCTCTGACTCGCGTGCTGCTGACCGGCAGGCATGAACCTCACCCCCGACAACGTGGTCGTCGCAATCAAGCCGGGCTCCGAGGCGGCGGCCTGCGGCCTCATCCAGCCGGGCGACCGCGTGCTGCACCTCAACGGCCACGCGGTCTCCGTCGACGAGCCGGTCAAGAGCTTCGCCATCGACCTCGCCGACGGAGCCGCCGCAACCTTCTCCCTCGTGCGGCACGCCGACACGGACTCGGCCGGCGGCGCGGCGCACATCCCTGTCGTCGACGGCTCGCCCGCCACGCCGCCGCAGCAGCCCGCCGCGCCGGCGGCGGCGCCACCGCCGCTGAGCGCGGATGACGACCTCGCCCGCAGGCTAGCTGACCTCAAGCGGGGCTGAAAGGAGTGCGAGTTGTCAAATAGCTTGGTTCCACGTGTTCGGTGTCGCGCGCGCGGATCGCGGGGGCCACGCGCGACGTGTGTGTGTGTTGGAGATGGAGTGTACAAGCGGTGGATTGAGGATTGTCGTGCGGCGCTCTCGCTCGCGCACCGCCCAACGCAACGCAACCGCCGCCCCGGCCGCCCGGCCGCGATGCCGATGGCCCAATCGCGAATCGGATCCGACATCCCGCGATGCGCGATGGCGCCGATGTGCGCCTGATCTCAGATCTGTGCGGGGGGGGCTCCGGCATGCGCGAAGCGCTCAAGGCTAGCCCAAGCGCTGCGCTCTGTGGCCTCTGGCCTCATATCCCTCTCAAGGCGGTTGCCCCGGAAACGCGAGACGCAGTGAAACCACCCCCTACCCAACCGTCTCAGGGGGACGGACGCATTTGCCCCCTTTCAAAGGCGGTTTCGAAGTTGATGAGACCTCGTCCCCCCCTCTCCAATGAAAAGCGTAAAAAGAGGCGCGGAACAGGCCGGAAGCGCCGCTTGGACGTGGGTCACACAATGGCAGCGCTCCAGACGCGCTCTGGTAGCTCCAATGAAGCTGCAGCCCATCGCGCACGCGCCGGACGGCCGCTGCACCTCCACTGCAGTGCCCTCCTGCACCGAGCGACACGTCAAACCTTTGTTGCTGCCCATGACCGCCGGCGGCTCCGAGCTCGGGTGAGCGAGCCCTGGCTGAGCTGAGCCTCTGCGGTCGCAATGCAGCGCTGCGGTCGGTGCAGAGTGGCCGTGTGCGTACGGCGTCGTACGCGCACGGCCGCTCTGCCTCAGTGGCGTGCGGCTTGGGCCAACTGAAGGTCGCTCTCCGACCTCGCTCGCCGAGCTCACAATCCGGCGCGAGCCGCATCGAGTGGAAGTTCGACTTCAGCTGCCGCGAGTGGATGGACTGCCTTGTCGAGTGCGAGCAGTTGGGCTCCGCCGGGAGCGTGAGGTGCAACACGTTCTCTGGGCGCCAGCAGACGCGAGCGCGCGAGCGCGTGTTGAAACCGGACGCTCCACAGCAACACTCAAGATACACTCGAACAGGGGCGCACGTTTTCTTTTCGGGTTTCGTGGGTTCCTAGTGCACTTGGAACCGACGAAACACCGCGAAGACGGTTGGCCCCGGGGTGGTTTCACTGCGAGAAAAATCGCTCGTGACAACATCCAAAAACAAACTCAAATCTTATGACGCTAGTGGAGAGGGCGGCAAGCGATCGGCCGATGCGCGGATCGGCGCTGCCCCAGAGCTCGCGACGAGCCGCGGGGGCCCGGGGGCAGAGAAACGCCGGGGGCAGAGAGCCGACGCTTGCTGCGTCGCGGGCAACGCAACGCCAGCAAGCAAGCTACAGGCGGTCCTCCCCGTCGATCGACGCGAGAGGCGCGCGGCCGCGCCCCGCGAGCGGCGCGCGTGCGGCGCCCCGGCCGCCGCCTGCGCGCGTACCGCCGCTGCGCCGAGGCCCAAACGCGCGGGGGCGCCCGCGCCGCCGCTCAGCCGTAGATCTTGACCGGCTTGTCGTACCCCGAGCGCGCCTGCTGCTTCTTCCTGCCCGTCCCCGTCTGCGCGTGCTCAAGCCCCAAGTAGTCGTCCCAGTTGGAGTAGTTGTCGTGCTTGCGAAAGTGCGGCCGCACGACGTCGTCGTCCTGCTCCAGGTACTCGACGCGGCCAAAGGATACGACGGCGATCTTCCACGCGGCAATCTCCTCGGCCGTCAGCCGCAGCTGGCCTGGATGCGCTTGCGCACGGAGGCGAGCGTCTCGTCGGGCGAGATCATCAGCAGGAAGGGGTCGCCAAAGTTGTGCGTCATGTTCATTCTCGTGTCGCGGTAAAAGTGGCGCACGTGGATGAGCTTGTCGTCGGGCCCCTGCGACAGCTCCTCGGGCGCGAGCTCCTCGGCGCGGATGGTCCAGTACTGGTCGTTGATCGTCTCGATCTCCTCCTGGTCCTGGAAGATCTTGTATATCCGGTGGTTGAAGATCTCCATCATGCGCAGCCGCCGCGGCCCCGCGCCGTTGGCCCCCGCGACGTCCATCCCGCTCGCGCCGCTCGCCTCGCCCGCGCCAGGCGCCTCCGGCGGCACCATCTTGGCGAGGGCGTGCAGCGCCTCGGCCACCGTCGACTCCTTGTCGAGCAGCAGGTTGACGACGCGCCCCTCCTCCGTCGAGGCTGTGTGCCACGACACCTTCAGCGGCTTCTTCGACTCGAGCTCGGGCAGCGGCATGTCGAGCGTCTCGTAGAAGAGGATGTCGGAGGTCTTCTGGAAGGAGAGCAGCATCTCCTGCAGGCTCTCCACCGACCGGTACTTGAGCGGCGTCGGCTTGGGCAGGTCCGAGTACGGGTTGTGCATCGTCAGCCGCACGTGCAGCGGGTCGCAGCCGAGCGCCTTGCCGACGCACGCCGTCACCTGGTCGTAGGTCCACCTCTTGTCCATCGTGATCTCCATCGCGCGCTCCTTCTCGCGCACGCCCTGCCCGTGCGAGTGCTGCGGCGGCAGCCGGTGCACGTGCACCACCACGCGGTTCTTGACGTGCTCGAAGAACTGCGGGATCTGGAGGAGCGGCTCGTGCTCGGGCACGTCGGACGAGGCCGCGCCCGCCGCAGGCTCGACCGCCATGCTGGTCGGCGCCGCGACGGGCAGCGCGCACTGGAAGACGATGATGTCGCCCGACTGCAGCTCCGCGTCCTTGAGGGAGCGGTGCTCCGAGAGCAGCTCGAAGCGGACCGACGTCTCAAACTCGACCTCCTCGTAGACGCACAGCTGCTGCGACGCCGGCAGGCCCTTTGCGCGGCGCAGCACGGGGAGCAGGTCGGTGAGGGTGTCGGTGTGGCTGGCGATGTGCGTGCCGACAAAGGAGAGCGCCTCGCCCGCGGGCTCGTAAAACTTGAGGAAGAGCAGGATCTGGTTCGTCGGCAGCTGCGGGTAGCCCTCGTCCTCGGGCACGGGCGCGTCGGCCGGCGGCGGCCCCGCGGGCGGCGTGCCGACCACCTCGAGGTAGAGGCGGAGCTCCTGCTGGAACTTGTTGTTCTGCTGCGCCGTCGTGTCCTCCTTGACGTCCATCATCGCGGTGTGGTCGTCGCAGTCGAGCTGCAGCGGCCGATCGGGCCGGTAGGTGTGGTTCTGCCGCTTGGCCCACAGCCAGAGCCGCTGCTGCGCCGGCAGCGCCCCCGTGAGCCGCCAGATCTCCTGCTTGAGCGCGAGGAGCGTGAGCTCCTTTTTGATGCGGATGGCGTGCACCTGCGGGCGTGTCGTGCACGTGTCAGCGGGCGTGCCGCCGACGCGTCGCGCGGAGGCGGACGGGGCGCGCGCCTTGTCGTGCGTCACGAGGTCGAAGAAGCGGTCCGAGCCAATCTCGGTGGCGAGGTCGGTGGCGGTGGCCACGCGCGCGACGGTGTAGAGGTGCGCCTCGAGCCGCTCCTTCTTCTTGCGCGCCTTCTCCTCCTGCTCCTTCTCGAGCGTGCGCCGCAGGTGCTGCGAGATGTCGTCGCCCGACACGTCGACGTTGATCTCCGGGATGGCTGACTCGCGCACGTACACGAGCATGTAGGCGTTGGAGATCTTGGGCAGCTTCCACTGCGGCGTGTGGCCCGGGTGCTGCTGCTGCTCGGTGCCGCCAAACTGCGCCTCGACCGCCTCCTTCTCCTTGGCCTTGGTCACTCTCTCGTCGTCGAAGCGATACCACTGCTCCGACGTGAGCGGCCGCACGAACGCATAGTAGTGGCCGCCGTTTGGCCCGCCAGAGTGGACGAGCACCGAGTGGAGGCGGTACTTGTTGACGACGTTGGGGTCCGAGTCGGCGGTAAAGTACTTGCGCTCTCCGCGGTCGAGGTCGAGCGTCGTCGGAAACTCGAACCGCTCGTTGATCTTGACCATCTGGTCGGTGCTGAAGTCGTACTCGAAGCGGCGGAGGTGCAGCTCCAGCACGGGAGGCAGCGCCTTGAAGGCGACGCCCTTCTTGGCGTCCTGCTTCCCGAAGCGCTCGGACTGGTACTGGTTGTCGCCGTCCAGCGTCTCCTCCTTGACGTACTCGTCGAAGGAGGCGTACATGTCCTTGCACCCCTTGACCGGGATCTGCAGGTCGTAGAACACCTCGTCGCGCAGCGAGACGTCCTGCACGTTGATGCACTTGACGTAGTTGGTGAAGGTGCCGCGGAAGAGGTGCGCCATGGTGCCGGCAACGCTCGTGTCCTGCGCGTGCAGCCGGGCGGGCCGGCTCGAGCGGGGCCGCCGCGCGGCAGCGCGCGACCGGGGCAGCGGGGCAGCGGGGCAGTGGGGCAGCGGCGCGTGTGGCGGCGTGGGCGGGTCGGCGCCTTCATCTTCTCCTCGAGCTTGTCGACCAGCACGCGGTTGAGCTCCTGCACGTCGTGCTGCATGAAGGTGTCGTACCTGCGTGCGGCGGGCGGCGATGAGCCCGGCCGCCCCGCCCACCGCGCGGCTCCTCTCCCGCCGCGCGCACGTGTCCCAGCCAAAGCTCTTGGTGAGCTGCTTTGTCGAGACGGAGCTGTCGGCGTACTGCAGCTTGTAAAAGATGCGCTGCAGGGCGAGCGGGATGCTGGCCTCCGGATCCTCCGTGTCGGTCGTCGGCATGTGATAGACGGCCTGCAGGGGCGGCGCGGCGCTGCTGTCGGGCCGCCGCCGCCGCCCCACCCACGCCCCAGCGCTCCCGCGGCGGCGTCGCGGGCCGCGCGCGCCTTGCGGAAGTAAGGGATGTGCGTGAGCGACTGGAGCAGCGAATTCATGTAGCACGTCGCGCCCTGGTTCTTGAGGCCGACGAAGCCCGTCTCCTTCTTCGAGTCCCACGACCACCAGTTCACCTGCGGCTCCACCCGCACCTTTGCCGACACCATCAGCTTGTCGTCCACCATGAAGCCGGAGCTCGTGTCCTTGAGCTCCGCCAGCGTCACGAACTCCCGAAAGCCCCAATCGCAGGCGCGCACGTTGAACTGGTGGTCGGCGTCTGCGCCGCACGCAGGGGCGGAGAGGGCGTCACGGCCGGCGCCGTCCCAACGCGCCGCTGTGCGCCGCACGAGCGCCGCGGGACTAGAGGTGCGGGCGCGCCTTTTATGACGTTGCGCGACGGCTCCTTTTGGTTGTGGACCGTGAGCGTGAAGTGCGCATGCCGCGTCCACCCCTGCGGCAGCGTCGCCGAATCGGCCACGTCGAGGTAGACCGACAGCTGCTGCACGTTGTTGCCTCCCGGGAAGAGCAGGATCCGCCTGCGGCGGGGTTGAGGGCCGCCCACGCTCGGCTTGCGGCGGCGCAAGTCTGGCGGTGCGGCGGGCCAGCCGGCGTCCGGACGCGGGCTGGACACGCGGCGGAGGGCTGCTGGCGCTGCCGGCTGGCGCGCGCGCGGCGCCGCGCACCAGTTGTACTGCCCACTCTGGAAGACGGGCGAGTAGAGCTTTGCCTGCTTGTTCTTTGAGAAGCCCTCTATCACCCACGTAAACTCGCCGGTGAGCGCATCGTCAGCGTCGGCGTCTGCAGCATCCGCCTTGTCGACTGCGGACCGTCCGGCACGTGCGAAGCGTCACGGAGCGGGGGGGGGCATGCGGGCAGAGCAGCCCAGAGGCCGTGCAGGGGGGACGCGCTGCGCCGTCTGCGCAGCGGGCTCGCGCGCGCGCCTTCCATCTCGTCGCCCGCCGTCTGGCCGACGGTGGCCACCGGCGGCTGCGGGCCAAACTCGACGATGTCGGCGTCGTGCTGGATCACCGTCATGCGGAGTGTAAGTTAAGGCCCGATTGGGCTCGTTCGCTTGCCCTGAGGCGGCGCCTGTGAGGCGACAACGAGTGACTTCACAGCCGCGGTGTGATAGCCTCACCATATTCACGCGCGGCGTGCGCAGGCAGTCTACACGGCCAAGGCTGCTGTACTTTCCACACACACACGAAATGATGCAACAGGCCGTCAGCCCGCAGTGGCGCCCCCGCCCGGGCCTACCGGCGCGCGACCGAGCGCAGCGACGCGTGCGGCGGGGCCCAATTCGCTACTATCATTCTCTAGAGGCGGTTCGTTAGTTAGGTAGTTAGAGGCGGGGTCTGTTCACAGTGAACCCAATCACCATTTGCCCAGGCTGCTAAGGGCGGTGAGCGGCTTGCAAGGCCAAAGAAGGCAGCGCGTGTCAGAGAGCAAGGCCGACGATGTCGCCTCCGCCTCTCGTGTACGAGCGGTACGCCAAGCTCGTCTCGAGAGGCGCGCCCGACTCGGTCGACTTCCTCAACGGCCAGTGGCAGGTTGGGGCGCCTCCCCGCGCCGGGCGCGCGCAAAAAGGAATCAGACCGACCTGACGCGTGCCGCCCTGCCCCCGTAGCGCGACCTCGTCGAGCCCCTCCCTGCGTATGTGTGGGATCGAACCACTCCGGAATGGGCAAGCCTTGAGTTCTCAGCGCCCTCACGGCCCGCCAATGCCAAACCCGACTCCCTCCATCGGTGTGGCGCCGCTCGATGGTGCCGGGAATCCTACACCGGAGCGATTCCTAGGGTTAGCGCAGAAAAAGCCGGCCCCCTTAGCTCCGGCTAGGGCTACGGGGTCCCCGGAGCCGACCCGACGAGGAAGGGCCGACTTAGGGCTTGCATAGCGGGCCGAGAAGGCCGCCCACACCCGCGAGGATGGTTGTGTGGTTGCCTCCCCGACTCGGACGGCTGCCTCAGAGGGTGGGCATGCGTCCTCTCGCCCTCTCACCCGCGGGAGATGGCCGAGTCCACGGAGCCGCACGCTGCCTCTCCTTGGACGCAAGGCTCCGACTTCTATAGTGTATAGAGAAAACCCCATGAGCACCAGCGTTTTAAAGTGAAATCGTCAAGAGAGATCGATGACCCGGGCTAGGCTTTGGGGTAGGCAGCCACCCTTTTGAAGGTGAGGCGTATTTGCCGACCTGTGAAGACGATTTACTTGCGAGCAGTGCGTGGACCAGATGGCGCGAGGGCACCGCAACATGGCCAAGGAGGCAGGGAAGCTTCTGCTCCGAGACGGCCGCTCAGGACCGCAAAATGGTGTTCCTAAGGTTGTGTTAGTCGGGCTGGCCAGTCCCCGGGGCCTGACGGTCCATTGTTTCCCTCAAGAGTACTTATCCCCTCCCCGCCCTTTCACTTTGAGCACTTGAGCACTGGAGAGGGTCGATTCCGCATGGTACGGGACCCCTCGATCGTCTCGCCCTCCCTCACTGGTGTGTTCATTGGGGGGGGGGGGCATAACAAACACGGTACAGGATCGAGGTGCACGCTGCCGAAGCAGTGTCGTCCTCCCTCTCCCCGACGGCGATGGCGGTGTGACCGATCGAGCTGCAAGAGGAGCTTGTTCAGCATGATCAGGTGAGGCCCAGGCGCACTACCTCACTCTGGGCCTGAGATCACCGAACACTTACCACCGTCACCTTCGCCTTGTGTGGATTCGAACCACCGCCGGGATGGGCTAGCCCATCGTTTTGGAGAGCTATTCATTTCCCCAATTGGTTAATTGTCAAAATTCCTGTTGTGCAAGAGGGGAGAGTAGGGCTCTGACGGAGTGTGTGGCGGGAGAGGGCAGGGAATGGGCGCGGGGAGGGGGGGGGGGGGGGCTCAGCCGTGCAAAAAGCATCAATTAATAATATTAATGAAGAAATATTGCTCGGCCGTTCATGAAGTCCGTCTCGATCTGGAGGAGACGGGTCAACCCCGTGAGGACCAGCTCTTGGAGCCAACCTTCCGCTTTGGTTTTTTCCCCACAAACCATTCGGCCAACTTTTACCAAATGCCAAAGTTGCACTTTACCACTCGGGCAGATTCGACGATTGCATTTTACCACTCGGGCGAAAGCGCGTTCGCGGCCGCTCGCCGGAGAGCTATGCATCAAGCGGCCGGCGCGCCACCGCAGCTCACCAATGGAGCTTGCGGAGCGGCTCAACAGCATTGCGACCCATTCTCCAAGCACGGCCTCTGGCGTTGCGAGTGCACAGAGAGCGAGCAATAGTCGACAAAAGCACTGATCTGTGGGCAGCAGATCTCCATGTCGGTCGCGCCCTGCGAAAGGACAACCGCGGGCCATGAGCAGGCGCCGCTTCCGGGGAGGGGGGCGCACTTCTCTGCACACCACATGCTAGGGGGGGGGTCCGACCCCCCCCAGACGGTTCGCCACCGCGATGTTGGGCCGGTCACCGCGCGCCCGTCTCACGCAGGCGGACACGGCGACGTGGCATATCGCCTCGGAGGTTGGCGCGGGCCTCGTATTCGTCGCCGCCGCCTCCATCGCCCACCACCCCAACACCGTCCCTCGCTCCGCTTGGATGCTCGCCAAGCTCAACGCCGGCGCAGTCTCGCTCGAGGCGTGGCCCGACTTTGAGATTGTCACCGAGGGGCCAAACACGGAGGAGGAGCCCTTCCTGCTCGAGGAGATCGGGGTCGACTTCTTCCTCCGCGTCCAGCTCAAGACGCGCAAGGTTG